GATGATAAGTATGTACACGAACGGGGGAGAGCATTTCAGGCAAAGGCAACAGTAAATGCAAAGCCTCTGATACGGAAATCTCATGGATATCAGTGTGACCAGAGCAGAGTAAACAAGAGTATCGAACATGAAGTCAGAGAGCTAACTGGATGCATGTAGGACTTTTTTAGGTCAGAGTAAGAACTTAGGCTTTTACTCTGAATGTGATGGGAAATTAATAGAGGGTTTCAAACAGAGCAGTGATGTATTCTATCTTGTGTTTTAAAGGATCACTCTGGTTGACATGTGGAGAACAGACTTCAGGGGATTGAGGTTAAGCAAGAAGATGAGTTAGAAGGCTACTGTAATAATCCAAAAAAGATAGAATAGTGTTTGGACCAAGATGGTGTCAAAAAAAGGATGGTGACAAATAGTTGGATTCTGGATCTATTTTGAAGTTTTTTCACCAGAGCAATTGAAAGAATAGCATTACCTTTAACAAAACTGGGGAAGCCTGCAAGAGGAGTACGTTTGCTGGACGAGGTGAGGGCAATATTGTCAAGAGCTCAAAGATCTGCTCATATTTAGCTGGAGATGTCAAGTAGGCAAATGGATGTATGGGTCTAGGGCTCAGAAAAGTGGTCCAATTAGAAAGATATTTGGGAGTCATTATCATATACATGACATTTAAATCATGGTGTTGGATGAGTTCACTTAGGCAATGAACGTAGATAAAAATGAGAGGAAATCCAGGGGTGAAAAAAGTGTAAGGAAAACGAGATAAGGTTTAATTTGCAGTCCAAATTAAAAAAAAAGTCAAAGAAAAAAGAATGAACAGATGGGTAAATTCTGCTGGTAAGCAAGATAAGAACATTGAAATGACCATTGGAAGTAATATTGTGAAGGTGCCTGGGACCTTGGTAAGAACCCTTTCGGTGGAATGATAAGGGCAAAAACTTGATCAGATCAGGTTCAAGAGAGTATATATATAGAGAGAGAGATTGCAAACAAAAAGTATAGACAATTTTTCCCTCAAGCAGCTGCTATAGTTAAAGGAAAGATGAATGGATGGTAGCTGGTGAGGTAAATAGAATCAAGAGAAGTTTTTTGTTTGTTTAAGGTAGAAGAAATAACAGCATGTTTGCATGCTGAAAGGGATAGTCTGATAGAAAAAAGCTTCTGATAGTTTTTGAGAGAGAATTGTTAGAGCAATGTACTTGTATAGGTAAAAAAGAATTGAATGTAGTGCACATGTAGAAGAAATGACCTAAGCAAGATTCAGAGATAATTTTTCCAGAATAACAAGGAGAGAAATAGAGATTATAGTCGTAGGAATAGGTGGGTGCATACATGACATTGGTGGTATTTGCTTCAACCAGCTGAAAGTGAAGATGCAAGGAGAGAGAAAAATATGAAATAGTGGCCTTAAAAGGTCTAAAAAAATAACCAAAAAAAATGCAGTATGATTTCCGGCACATTAAGGACCCACTTTAAGTTAACAATCCGTAATTTAAAGTGAGATCTGGCATAATGTTTGGATGGTTTTTTTTCCAGCTTCATTTAGCTGCATAGGTTGAGTTAAGATATAGTGTATTTATTAATAGAAAATTTGAGGTATGATAAGGCCGACAGACCAGGAGACAATCACCATTAAAAAAATAGGTGTTTTTTGTTTGTTTGTTTGTTTTTACTGATAGTTCCCAAGAGGAGGAGGCCCACAGTGCCACAGGGAACCGCATGGAGAAGCGCTGGGGTCAGCCACCAGCTTGAGGGAGGGGGCAAACTGTGGGCAAGAGTCTTTATTGTGATTTTGGTGGGAAGAAATAGGTGAGGCAGAGTAAGCAGGCTTCAGATTGGCTGGTTCGAATAATTTACGTGGGTTCTGGGGCATAGGGGCCTTCTCTAGTTATCAGGTACCTGGCCATAGGATTATTAGGGAAGGTGTATAGTGGCCCAGAGTGTGAGAGCCTGATAAAGGAGATGGTTGGAGATGTGAACTCTGGATTGGTTGGTTTGTATTGGAAAATCATGCCTCGGAGTGGGGGTGGGGGTACAACAAGGGAGGCAGGAAGCCGATGCAAGGTGATGTGGGCATATCAGGTTATCCAGAACAAGCCTGTTGGGCCAGTGCATATAGGGTAGATGTTAAAGCATCGAGTTTACAGAAGCTAGAAACATGCTTAATACATAGGTAAGACTCAAAATAAAAATATTGGAATTGCTGAAGGTTTTGGGTTTTGCTAACAGGTATAGTGAATTTAAAGAAGAAAAGGGGATGGGAATGTAAGTAAGGAACAATTATAGTAAATTATATTGATTAACCTTAAGCTCAAGAGGGAAGAGATTGCATGAGGGGTTGGTAAGGGAGTAAAATGTGGTATAATCAAGAGCTTGAAGGTCATAATAGGGTTGAAGGAAGTTTGAAATTGGGGTTTAAGGGAGTATAAGCTGGAAAAATAGTAAGGGATGGTTAACCTTGCTAAAGACGAGATCAAATGTATGACCATGGGAGTAATAGCTGATGTAGCAAGGAGGACAAGATCATTTATGTGAGAAGACTTCAAGGAGCTAAGGCCATAGTATTAGAAGGATTATCTTCATAGATATTGAAATACTCAGGAGTTGGAGAGAACCAGTAACTCGGGATATAAAATCTTCAGGGGATTCAAGAAAGGAACTGGTGATGATGATGACAGTAGACTGCCATAAGGAAGTGGAATATACGTAGTCATTGAAGCCATGGGTTTTGTTAATTTTGCTCTGGGATAGTGTATACAGTGTGAAAATATAATAGGTTTAAGTCTAAGTTAATCCTCAAAACAGGAAACAAACGGAAAATAGAATGGGAAGACTGGATTTTGTAAGAATAAGAGGGCAAAATGTCAAGGAGAAAGAAGATAGAGGTGGAGAGTTAAAAGAGTGATTCAATTGATGAATTGTGTATACTGGATTAACAGACAGAGAATACCGTATTTCCCCATGTATAAGGCGTACCCTTTTTCAAAAAATTTGGAGTCTAAAAACTGGGTGCCTCTTACACAGTGGTTGTTAGATTTCAAATACCATAGATGGAACTGAGGACAAGGCAATATATGAAGACAGTGATTCGTCATCAGACACAGACGAGGACAAGCTAATGGTTGGGAGTTTTGACAGTGATGAGGAGTTGTATGAATTTTATGATGAATAAAACTTGAGTTCAGTAACTTCATGTAATTTTTTTTTCAAATTTTGGGCCCCAAATTAAGGTGCGTCTTACACATGGGAGCGTCTTATACATGGGGAAATATGGTAAAAACCTAAAAGGTAGTAACTAGTAGAAAATGGGTCAGGTGATAAATGGAGGTTAAAAAATAAGAGACAGTGGTATCCAGACACCAATATGAGAAGTTAATTTTAAGAAGGGGGAATGGTCAACTGTTAGATGCTGCAAAAAAAAACTCTGAAAAGAGTCCCCTGGATTTGACAATTTAAAGGATTATGTGATTTTAATGAAAGTGGTCTATGCAGTTGGAGAGGAGAGGATGGAACGAGATTGAAGTGAATTATGGAGCAAATAAGAGGAGTAAGTAAGAAATCAGGATTATTGTCTACTATTTTAACAAGTTGGACAGAAAGGAAGAAGAGATATAGTAATAGAGGAAGACTGCTAAAGGAAAGATTTTTAAGTTGACGGGATGATGGAGCATATATATATATATATACACACACACTCAAGGGAAAAAGAGAGGAAATAAGATAGGAGACAGAATTATTGATGGAGAAGAGTCCCTGAGAAAGTAGTTAAGAGACAGATTCAAAGCACAGGTAGAAACACTAGCCTTAGATAAGAAGGGCAACTTTTTTACTGAAAGATGAAGACAGAAATAAAGATAGATTTAGATGAGTTTGTAAGATGTGGAAGAAGAATATAATGAAGGTGGAGAAATAATTTAAGGAGTTTTTACCTGATTGATTATTTTCATTTTCTTAGAGATGTTGGAGGCAATGTCATTTGAGGAAGAAGGATAGAGTGGAATACTTTAAAGAATGTAAATTTGAAATAGTGCATGAATGGAATTCCCTTATTCATTTATTTACAAAATACTTAATTTTGTGCCCACAATATGTTGGGCACTGTCCTGGGTGCTAGGGATATAGCAATGAACAAGACAAAGTTCTGGCCCTAAACATGCTTATGTAGGGGAGTGGACAACGTAGCAATAAATGCTATGAAGAAAAATAAAATATGAAAAGTAAATTGATGTCATTTAAAAATATCCTTGTCTGATCTTTTATGATTTGAAAAGTAAAAGTACTGTTTAAAATGGTTTCTTTGGAAATATATTTATTTTTATAACCTAAGGGAAGATCATTCTTATTATATAGAAATCCACAGTACAATCACAGTACTAGAATGAATAAATGATAAGGTAGGTTTTTGTCTTAGAGAATTTGCAGAGTAGAAATAAATATTTTGATTATAAGCTCTTTTTACTAAAAATTATTATGTAATTGTTCAGGCAGGAACATAATATTCTTTACCAGATTTGCACTCATGCTTCAATCTGTCTATGTAACTGCACTCTGCACTCATTTGTTCATATTATGTGTCAGGTACTTCCTAACCATAATATGTAAATTAATTCTTTCAATCCTCAAATAACCTATGAGTTAAGCACTGTTACTATCCCCATCATATAGATAAGGAAACAGACCCAGAGAAATCAGTGTTGACTTTGGACCTGACTGCCTGGGTTTAAATTTCAGTTCTAGTAGAAATGTTTCCCTCTAAAGCTCTGTGATTTCATGTAAAATAGTACTAATAGTTACCTCTTAGACTTGTTCTGTAGAAAAATTGACATAATGCATGTAAACATTCTAGTACAGTGCTTATATAAATAACATTATTTCTTGTTCATACATTTATATTGTTTCCATGTTTCTAAATGAAAGTCTGTTTTGTTTTATTTATTATTATTGTTGGTTAATTTTTTTTCAATTGTGGATCCACTGTATTATATTTTCTTTTACTGATATAGGAACACTGGCACACAGCCAGTGAAGTCTATTAGCTTGATTGGCCCAGGAAAAGGAGCTCAAACAAAAAGATCTGTTAGTGTACTCCAAAGCAGAATAGCTGTGTCAAGAAGCACGATGCTCCTACCTGACGTAAAGACAGCAGAAAAAATGAGTATTTCCAACATAAGGGGAATCACACAGGTAATATTCTTTGGAATTCTGAGTTTATTTGAAAATGGTACTTTGAAGAGGTTGATGAAATGTTACAGGTAGAAAATATGCAGCTTGGAAATAATTAGTCACTTTTAGTATTGATATATTGATTTTATTAGAGTCTACCACATAACATACCTTACAGCATTATATTGGCAAATTGGCTCCTATAATTCATTATTGGTAATAAGAATATTAGAGTGGAATGAGAAAAATCTACTCATGAACTTAAGAGCTAGTTGATTATGGTATTAATTATAACTAATCTAGCTATAATAGAGTACAGCTATCACCTACTCTTCTTTGCAATGTACTCTAGAAAATATCATAAAATGAATTGTCATAAAACTGGTTATCTTATCTCACTAGAGAACTTATAATTAAGAATTGACTTTTTAAAATTTTTAATCAAAGTATAACATATACAGAAAAGTATATAATATATAAATCTGAGTGGACTAACCAATGATTTTTTTAGACATTACACCAAAAATTACAGTTCATTAAAGATAAAATTGGTAAACAACTTCATCAAAATTAGAACTTCTAGTCTGTGAAAGACACTGCTAAGAGAATGGAAAGAAAAGCCACACAATGGGAAAAATTATTAAGCATACATATAACTGATAAAGCACTTGTACCCAAAATAGACTGTTTTTACCCCATTGTATATTCTTGCCTCCTTTGTCATAGATTAAATGATCATATAGGTGTACGTTTATTTGGGGGCTCTCTATTCTGTTACACTGATCTGTGTGTCTGTTTTTATGCCAGTACTATACTGTTTTGATTACTATAGCCTTGTAGTATAGTTTGATATCAGGCAATGTGATACCTCTCATTTTCTTCTTTCTCACGATTGCTGTGGCTATTTGGGGTCTTTTTGGTTCCATATAAATTTTAAGATTATTTGTTCTAGTTCTGTGAAAAATGCCATTGGTATTTCAATAGGTATTGCATTGAATCTATAGATTGCTTTGGGTAGTATGGACATTTTAACGATGTTAATTCTTCCTATTCATGAGCATCGCATGTGCCTCCATTTATTTGTATCTTCTTCAGTTTTTTTCTTCAGAATCTTATAGTTTTCTGAGTACAGGCCTTTTACCTCCCTGGTTAAATTTATTCCTAATAAATTTTTTTGATGCAATTGTAAATGGGATTTTCTTAATTTCTCTTTCTGACAGTTCATTATTGGTATATAAAAAATACAACTGATTTCTGAATATTAATTTTGTATCATGCTCCTTTACTGAATTCATTTATCTGTTCTAATAGTTTTTTGATGGAAGGAACTTTTCAAGGTAATTCTAAAATTTGTGTAAAACTGCTAAAGCCTAAGAATAGCCAAGATACTCTTGATTCAGAACTTGGTGGCAAGACTTGCTCTCCTGGATACCTACTTTAATAACAAGTATAACATTAGCAAAAGGATGGACAGAGAGCCTACAAGTGACTCAAGGACATATAAACACTTGTTTTATAATAAATATACAGAGTAATAAGGAAATGACAAGATTTTCCGAAGTTCTTGAGAAAATTGTATATTCATATGGAATAAAAATATATTGGCTTCCTTCCTCATATTATACACAAAACTCAATTCTAGGTACATTGTAAATCTATGAAAAGATAAGAAAAATATCTTTATAATTTCAGGATTGGGAATGGTTTTTTGCATGAGGCATTTAAAGCACAAACCATAAAGGAAAGCATGATAAATTTGACTACATTAAGCTTAAGAGTGTCTATTCATTATGATATCACAAAGAAAATGAAGTTATAGAGTGAAAGAAGACATTTGCAACACATAAAACTGAAAGGATTCATATTTGGACTATTTAATGACCCTAATTATCAGTTTTAAAAAAAGAACTCAATAGAAAAGTGTGTGAAGGACTTGAATGGGACATTCTCCTCCAAAAAAGGAAATAAAAATGGGAATACTTATATGAAAATAAACTCAACTTTAGGGAAATTAAAATCAAAATGAGATACCTGCATACCCATACTAGACTGGCTTAAATTTATAAATCTGACAGTGCAAGTTGTTGGTAAGAATGTAGAGTAACAGCAACTCTCACACAATGCTGGTAATCATAAAAATTTTTATGACCAATTTGGAGAACAATTTGGTGTTATCTAATCAAGTTGACCCATCAAATGCACAACTATATATCTCCTACAGAATTGCATTCTCAGGTATACCAGTATATTTATACATAACGTTTATTAAAACAGTTTGCATGATGCTTCAAAACTAGAAACAACTTAATGTCTATTAAAAGCAAAATGGAAAAATAACATATGATGTACTAATCCAGCAGACTACAGTCATCAGTAAATGAACAAACTACTGTACATGCAACAACATGGAGAAATACAAAAACGTTGAACAAAAGGTGAAAGATATGTTAGTCATAATATACGACTATTTATATAAATTTTAAAAACAGGCAAAACTAAATTACATTGATAAACATGGTAAATACTAAGTACTAGCAAAAATCTGGAGCAACCAGAACTTTCATGCATTGTTGGTGAGAACCACTTTGGAAAATGTTAGCAGTATCTATTATAGGGGAACATATATGTATATGTTCATTACCTAGAAATTCTACTCTTAGGTACATACCCAGCATAAATTCATATAACATATTAAGCAAAACACTCATACAACAATATTCGTAGGACCATTTGTAAGAACCAAAAAAATGGAAACTACAGAAACATCCATGAACAATAGAATAGATAAATAAAATTGTGACATTCGCACAATGGAATATTGTGCAACAAGAAAATGAACCATCTACAATTATGTTTAATAATATGAATGAATCTCACAAATACAACATTGAACAAAAGAAACCAGATACCAAAGAGTACATGCTGCATGATTCCATCTAAATAAAGTTCAAAAACAGGCAAAACTAATCCATGGTGTCAGAATAATGATTACCTTTGGGGAAGATGGTGTCTCTCATGAAAGGAACTTTTGAGATGCTGATAATCTTGTTTATAATCTGAATGTTGTTTATGTGGGTGTGCTGAGTTTGTGAAAATTTATTAAGCTGTACATTTATATGTGCACTTTCTATATGCATATTTTACTTGAATATATATATATATACATATATATGAAGTAAGTGCTATTGTTTAGGAATGCATACTTAATAAAACTATAAAAAGAAAGGAAATGATTACTAAAATTCAGTTAATTTGCTTTATATTATTTACTTAATGGTTTTGTTTTAATTACATTTCTGTATGTGTTAAATTTCTTAATTGAAAAGATTAAGAATTAGCCCAAAACAAATAAACCAAGAATATGTAATAAGTCTGGAAATGTTTATTAATAAAATGTTAAATGAAAAATAGTGTTTTTCAAGCTTATACATAAAAAATATACAAAAATATTAACAATCTGGATGAATTATATTTCTACATTTCTGAGTGTTCTCAAAATTAACACATATTGCTTGTATCTAGGTAAAACATAAGACTTAAAAAATGGATGTCTAGTTAAGAAACTTTTTAAGTATAAAATCTTTTATTATTCAACTTTACATGTTTATCCTATCCTAGATGCTTAGCTTTTTCTACTACTTTTATTTCTATTTCCTAGGACCTCTTATTTAGAAACCTCATCTTTTTTTTATTTATTTCGTTTTCTATTCCCATTTTCCATAGGTGTTTGATGTAAATGGAGTTGATGTTACTCCTCGGCCTCTGTACCGTCCAGATCTATATGGTACAGCAAAGCCAAATAGACTATTGACATCACAAGAAGGATCACTTGGATCAGAATATGTACTCTCCTATAGCATTTATCAAAATACACTGACTCCCAGTATATTAGGGCAATTTACAAGGTAGAGTATATTATCCTATACTCCTTTTTTTATCTCATATGTATTTTCTTTTCATTTAAGGTGCATCTATATAACTTAGATGTCCATTGTCTCCTGTCGCCCAGCTCCACTATATCATCCTAATGTGCCACATCTATGTTCCTCTCATGTTTTAATTAGATGTAGAGCTTTGCATGTCTTAAGTTTCCTTATACTCACATGAAAACAATTGTGAAGAAATACATAGATTTTACTCAAGGTTTCCTGAGGAACCAAAATGGGGCTAGCATCACATACCCACAGACATACTTGTATTTCTTCAGTTTCTTTTATGCTGCAATTTATGAATGGAGTAACGTTCCTTTTCTCCCTCTTCTCCCATGCAAATCACAGTTCTCCTCGGGTTTGATTTCTCTCTTGTTTTATAATTCTTTTTTTATAAATGAAATGTTACGTGTTTATTACATGGATACTAATATACTTGACATTTTTTAATGCTTATAGTAGAGCAGTTCAGAGTCTTTACAATAATAAAACAGTACATCCTAAAATAATGTAAAGATAATGGGAAATAATTGAGTGTGTAACTTTCAATCTCACAAATTAAAAGTTCCAGATGTTAATTAAGCAAGAGATTTAGGAGAAAATATGCTGCTCTAGAGTCAGCCTCCAAATTTGCATTCCGAAGCCATGGGCATGCTCAGTAAAACAAAGGCTATTCCAGTAAACGGACCCACCCTTTTGGAGGGCTGTTGGGACGATAAGAAAGGGAAACAAACAATATAATCATGGAGTAATGTAACATTCATATATTTAAGGAAATTATTATGGGATTCTTTAATGTATTGATTTCCCACTAAGTACAGAGATTTTCTTTTAAGTATATCCTGAGAGGACATGTATCAAATTGAATAAATCACATCTAATATGGGATTTGAATGATGATCAGAAGCCTGGTGAAAAATGAAAGGAAAAGTGATCTAGGCTGAGGCTCTGAAATAAGAGAGCTCCACAAAACTGAGAAACTTAAAAAAATAAAGAAAAGGAAATGGGGAGGAAAGAGTGAAAACGAAGAGGGAGAGTCCAGGTCGGGAGGCTGTATTTTGGGTTTTTACCCTAAATATATTGTGAACCCATTGAAGGATTTTAGGCATAGCTTCAACGTGCGTTTTCTCTAAAATATATTTAAAATGACTTTTCACTTAAAGAATATTGAAAATCAACTCGATGTTTAAGGAACTAATTTTTAGCAATTTTGCTTATATGATTATAGTATATTTTATTTCTCGGTCTGATAATGTTTTCATTTATATATATAATTGTCCATAAAGACATCTAAATAAATGAATAATGTTATTCATTATTAAAGGTCAGTTTTAGGAAGCAGTACAGTTTCTAAGTCAACTGCATCGACTAGTGAATCAATAGCAGAAGACCTAGAAGAACTATCCTATAAACGGGAAAAATTGGCTAGTTTTACAGGTAATGAAAATACAATTGTTTATTTCAGTAACAGTCCATTATTCCTTTAGCAAATGTGCTCATTATATTTTGGGTACTTGAGATAAAAGAACTGTGGTAATGATTCCCAAAAGCTTGCCTGTGCAGTAGTTACATGAGAATTACCAGGGTAGTAACTATGCGTATGTTTTTAAAAGTTCCCAAGGTCTTGTACCACCAGCCTCAGGAATCACAGACCCTGTTTTAAACCAGCTCGACTTCTAACTCAGGAGACAAAGAATTATGATACACTGTGATCAATGCCATAATAAGACATGCAGAAAGTGATGGGAGCACTTACAAAGGAAAGATAAACTCCTTTGAGGTGAAAAAAAGAATGTTCACAGAGAACATAATTGACTTTTTTTTTTTTAAAGATTTTATTGGGGAATTGGGAAGGGGAACAGACAAGTTACTGTCCTTTGGTTCTTCAGTCTAGTTGCGGAGGATGTCGCTTCACTGGCGCATGTTGGTATTATGATCATTTTGCTCTTCCTGGCTGAGGTAGTTGGTCACAGGCCATTGGATGGCTGCTCACGGCAATCTAGCTCCAGATGGAGCTGTTGTTCACCATCTTAGCTGTAGAGGGCGCAGCGTCACTGGCCCATGTGAGAACTGGACCGGTGGCCCTGCTGCTCAGAGCTCAAACTCCCACACCAACTCAACCAACTCAGCCACTCGGCCGGCCCCGTAATTAACTTTTGAATTGGGTTTTTAAATATAATAGTAATTTGTCAGGAGAACAAAGAAAGGCTAAGTCCAGGTAGAGGATGAAAGGTAAGGCAATGCAGAGGATTATGAAAGTGAAGATAAAAGCATGAGGAAATAGTGGTTGATAAAAAGCGCTTGAAGAAATGGGTACATACTTGAGGAGTGTTTGCCTTGGAGTGCAGTAAAGATGTCTTTTCCTCTAAGATGATAATGAAAGATTAGTGAAAATATTGATAAGGCTAGCAGAGTGCTTGATGGACTTTTTTTTTTTTTTTGGTGTAATACGAATGCTTCTAACAAGTAACAGAAGACCTAACCACCATTAACTTAAACAAATAAGGCTTATTTTTTCTCACGTTAGAAGAAATTAAGAGGTAGAGCTTTTTGGCTTTAATTTTGTGGCTTAATTATGCCAGACTGGATTGACAGCTCTGATATTTTCTTTCCTTAAGCCTTTTCATCCTGATTTTTGCCTCATGGTCTCAAAATATCTACACTCAGCTCTTGGTGTTATATCCACATTAAGGGCAGAAAGGAGACCAGCAGTAACACTAGTCACATCTCCATCATTTTTCAGGAAAGAATGAATATTCTTTCTGATATAGGGGAAGCCTTTACCAGTACTCCTCAAATCACAAGGTCATCAAAAACAAGGGAAGTCTGAGAAACTGTCAGTCTAGTGAGGCCTAAGGAGATATGATGACTAATTGTAGTGCATCTTAGATGAGATCCCAAAAAGAAAAAGAACATTAGTTAAAAACTAAGAAAATTGGGATAAAGTGAATTTTTTATAATAACGAGGTATCAATATTGGTTTATTAGTTGTGATAAATGTACCGTAGTAATGTTAACCATAGGAAAAACTGGGTACAAGGTAAAAGGAACTCTTTGTACTATTCTTGTAAACTTTCTGTATAAGTAAAACTATTCTAAAATAAAAAGTTTATTAAATGTTAAAAAAAAAAAAGCCTAGGGGTGGGTCCCAGCAAGCTGTACTATGCCCTCCAGGTGATTCTGATGCATGCTGAAGTTTGAGAATCATTGCTTTACTGTATAATCAAAAGGAGGCTTATGGTAAGAAAAGTTTCGTTTGAATTTAAAGGTAGGGACCAAACAGCATCTTACACAGACTGTCTCTGAATGGTCTCAGTGAATAGATGAATAAATAATAGATGCCTTTTACATAAACTCATAAAACAAGTATTTTGATTTGCGGTATAATCCATTTGTGAGGAGGAGTAAGAATAAAAAGCTGTTGTTAGTCAATTGTATTGTAATTTTATCACACCAATTCTAGCCTAAGTATGGGCCAAGGAAGGCTTTACAGGTTGCTGTCTATTGAGGTCTCTGAAGGTAGCCAAATAATGGCATCCCTTTTTCCCATGCAGTTCTGAATTAATTGAAAAATATAGTAAGGGTAGATATGATAGGTTGGAGCCAAAATATGGCATTATAGATAAAGGTCTGCTGTTAAAAATCCCAAATTTGACAGACTTACCCACACATTCATTAAAGGATCTAGACCACCTCATGCCCACCTCAACCCTCTTAAAGGGGCATCATGAGTAAACGTGTGGAGAGGAAACAAGATTATCATACTAGAGCTCCCTCCTTCTGGAAGAACCATCAGGAGTGGACAGATTGATGAATTTGTGATGCTTTTCCAGGTGGAAGAGGATATGTAAACATCTGGTTGTAAGGCCAGTTTAGAGTTAGGATCTGACCCATGAAATAGATAGGTTCTATAGGTATATGGGGGAATTTTAAATAATTTCTCAATATATATCAAACTTAAGCAACATTCAGACAACGGTTGATACAGAAATCTAGGCAAAAATCCTATTTGCCAACCTAGGGCTTTGTCTATGAATGGTCGTTCCTCTGTCATTAAGTAGATCGACTAGACTATTATTTCCTCAACTATAATAGATAGGTGAGATGTTATTATATTAGGTTATGTGATATCTCCAATGTAAGATAATTTGTTTTTATAATTAGCATTTCTGTGCCACAATGCTATTTTGAAATATATATAACTAAATCATTAATGAAGAACTGGTAGTCTAAAAGAAAGTTTAGACAATCAAGAACCTAAATTTCTCGTCTCAAAACTGCCAGTATTTCTGTGTGGCCTTAGACTTCTCACTTAACCTCTCTGTTTCTCATTTTCTTCACTGATAAAATGAACAGTTTGGATTAGAAATACCTCAAATTGTGTCCATGTGAACAATTCATTCACTTTTTCACTTATCGTGTATCTAATTTAGCCAGATTGACTCACATAATTCATATTTCTCCCTCATATTTAATTTATTGCAGAAATAATAAAAATTTAAAAATATTTTTAAAAAGAAGAATCATCCAATACTATAAAAATAAACAATTTAGAAATTTCCCTTCCTGCCTTGTATAATACTCATATGCATTAGTATTTTACATTGTTATAACCATACCATAGGTTCTGTTCTGGAATGGTCTGTCACTTAACATTTTATCACAAACATATTTTCATAGATTTTTATTACTACATTTAATTACTATTTAATACAGGTAAGTATACTATGATTTATTTAACCATTTCAAATGTTGATTATTGGTTTGTAGAATTAGTAACTTGTATTTGTTTTTAGGTTATAAGGAAGGTGTTTTTCTCAGGTTCTGTAAAGTGTATACCCTTAAATTTTGTTTTCGTAAAGCTATTCAAGCTTTACCCTTCCCAAAGCCTCATGGATCCCTGCTTTACACCTTGTCTTCAACAAAAAATGTTGAATTCTGACCTACATACTTTTTATTATTTGCTTTATTATTACCCACACTCCAAACTCACCCAGCCCTGAATGAAATTTTTCAAAGACCTTAACCTCTTGACTAGCCTAAAGGTGAGGCTAACCCTCTTCAATGTATTACTTATGTGGGTATTGAGCCTATTTTCTTCCTATATTTAACCAGAACTTCCACTGGAGAGTGTTTTTAGGTCCTGGTGAAGATGGTTAAAGGTGGACTGTAACCTAAATCGGAGACAACTGATAAGAAGGCCAAACAAAAAATAAAAGGTTGTTGAATAACTTAAGGGCTCAAGGAAATGTTGCATACTATGTCCCCAAAATATACTCGCCCATATTCTCCTTGAGTATAATAACAACAGTCACTCACCCCAGTCTCCCTGTTAATATTATGGGATAGCTGTAATAGGATGCCCTTAGTGTTATGACTATGAGACCAGGGTAGGCTTGATATGTCAGGAACAGAGACTGTTTATGGGCTATAAGATCCAGTTTGGCTTTAGAGGGATCAAATAGACTACATCTCAAAACATGGCCTGTTCCTTGACCATATAGAGCTACCTGCAATGTATGACCCATCATGATACCTTGGTGAAATGAAAATTTAAAATAGTAATTAGTAAATGATTTTTATTAAGTCGTGTATTTTAGATTTTCGAGTTATGAAGACAACACCTGGAAAAACTGTAACAAAAGAAGACCTGGGAAAGACTATAGAGATAATACTCACAGAGACAGAAACCCTGAGACTTTTTAACCTTCCAACAGTCATGGTTTCGGTAGAATCTGAAGAAGCTGAGGAAGTAAGGTATGTATATCATTCAACTGTCTACATTGCTTCTGTAATTTAAATGCTAAGACAGAGGTTCTTATTTTTGTTTCTGTTCTTGGGGATTCCTGGATATATACTGTGGTATGTGCCTAGTGAAATTGTATGTAAAATTATATATGTGCCCTGTGAAATTATATGTATTTATATTGTATGTATTTTTTTCTAAAGGACATAGCTGCCTTACCATATTCTTTAAAAAGTAGGTGAACCATTAAGTTAAATAATAAAAGAAATAAAGAAAACTTCCAAGTATCAATATAGGTTTTAATGATTTTTATGCATGTATAAATTATTTTCAGGTTTTTTAAAAGGAAAGGACTGATATTTTTGTATTCAGAGCTTAAGAAGGAAAGATATTGTATGGGAAAAATAACTGAATTTACTATATTAGAATAGATTTTCAATTTCTCTTTATTAATGAATATAAATAGATGACTAGTTTTTGCCTCATGTAGTTTGAACCTCTGTTTTAGGGGCATACACATTAAGATTGTTGTCTTTTTTAAGAATTGACCTTTTTATTGTTATGTAATACTGCTCTTTACACTGACAATTTTTCCTGCTCTGAAGTCTGCTCTGTCAGAAATTAACACAGCTATTATAAATCAATTATTAATGTACTTATTCAGATTATTTTGCTTCAAATATAATTGGAATATGATGCATAATACTAAAAAAATTCACTAAAATAGTTTTTACGGTATTATTCTTAACCAAATATAAAATTTTGTAGAATTGTTTGCACTATAAAATGTATTACAATTAGATCCTGAATAACATACTTTTTAAAGCTCATATGATATTAGGGAAAGCTCCTAGAATCACAAAAAGGAAAGGGAAAAATAACAAAGGGATATATAAGTGATCCAAAATCAGAGAGGGAGAGATGCTAGAAGCAAATGTTACATTAGTTCATGGATCTAGAGTCCACCAGTAAGATCCCCTACAAATTGAGAAAGCTGAAAGATAACTTTTATTAAGACAAGACCCTTAAAAGGATCTCAATTATATCAACTGGTCCCACGTCAGTAGGGACTCCTAGCTACTATGACAAGCAAACACAAGTCTCTGGAGGAAAACATACCCATTTAAGCTCTTAAGATTCCCTTAGATTGAATTTGATAAAACTATGCCAACACCCATAAGGGAAAAAAGCCATTATGAATAAGAATTAAAAGAAATGACAAACCCTAGATCTAAACCCTGACGACTGTGGATATTATCAGATATAGAATATAAAATATATATGAAATATTTAAATAAAAATAGAGTTAAAACATCATTAACATTAAGAAACTATCAAAATCATGACATATTTGGAAAAAATATCTAAAAAGAACTTTAAAATAAAGTATGTTTATATAATTGTTCAAATTAAAAAGTGTACATTGACTTAGTTCTTGAAGTTAAAAGTAAATATTAAATTTAAACAAGACATAATTGAATAGAGAGTTAATAAATTGGATCTGAATACCACACAAACGTAAATCTAGAGAAATTATACAAAATAAAGTTTAGAGAAAAGAATGGGATGTAAAGTATGAAAAAGAAGTTTTAAAAGATACTGACAATGGAATAAAGGTCTAACATACATCTAGTCAGTTCCAAAAGGGTAGAATAAAAAGAACAGAAGAGAGATACTATTCAAAGAGAGTGGGTCAGGACTTTCCTAAACTACTTAAGATACCATTCTACAGAAATAGGAATAAATAAAAGAAATCTACAAAAAAAAAAAAAATGAACCCAGTGTATTGTACTGATACTCCAGACTGTCAAGTATTAAAAGAAGATTTTTAAAACAGAAGAAAAGAAGGAACGTATCATCTACAGAGAAACAAACTGACAGCATTATTAGGGATAAACAAGGTCACTTCGTAATGATAGGAAGATATAATAATCCTAAACTTGAATTTCCCTAATAAAATAACATGCAAATATATGAAGCAAAAATTGGAAACTTCATAAGTACCCTATTAAAGTAAGATTTTTAAACATACCTCTCTTAATTATTGATAGGTCAACCAGATAAAAATTAGTATAAATGTAGAAAATTTGAAACAAAAATGTAATTTAATTTTTGTACATAGAACTCTGCATTCCACAATTGGAGAACATACACTCTTTTTAAGCACACATGGAATATTTATAAAAATCATCCATGCACGAGGCCATGAAACAATGTTTCAAAATTTCAAAGAAGCATCATACAAACTAAATTCTATAATCACAGTAGAATGAAGATAAAAATAACATAACTCTACTAAAATGTAGACGTACATTCACATACATACTTGGGAGTTAGCAAGCACGTTTTCTAAATTCTTTATGAATCAAAGAATAAGTTATAATGGAAATTTAAGAAATACTCAGAACTAAACAATTATGAAAATAATGCATTCTTACAAAAGTAAGTACTTTGAGGGAAATTTATAGCTTTAAGTGTCTATATCAAAGTTTATAAAATCTATGTGGAGACAGTACTACCATATTGTTGGTGGGCACTGAAAGTAGTAGGGATGTTGGGAGATGTAGTATAAAAAAAGTCCTTTGGTGGTAGTTTAAAGCAGTCTCCTCCTAAGGAGTTTTTTGAACTCTCACTTTTTGGTGCAATACACATTAATGAAGGTAATTTTCAGAAAAGGCATAGTATAAAGAGATGATATCTGTGGTGATAATTTTCATTAATGAGTTGTGTATATTATGTTTTTTAATAGCCGGAGAAATAAGAATTATGAGAGCCTTTGTAAGAATAGATTAGGCAATGACTTATATGTTGAAAGGATGATGCAAACTATTAATGGAGCACCAAAGAATAAAGATGTTCAATGTGACAGAATCATAAAGGAAGACAAAGGTAATTTCTGTTTAATCTGCTTGATAAACTACCATGTTTTAATATCCATTCTTTGAGTCTGTCAATTAGCAAGTAAATGTTGAAGTATATAAAGCAAAAATAGAAATAATTTGGCCAAGTCACAACACTAGCTGGGTACTATGATCTACAGCTTTCAGAATTTGACAAGTAATAAATACAGATATAGATTTGAATAACGTAATTATCAATCTTGAGTTTTACATAAACCATACTATAGAACTTTGTATTCTTTAAATGTTTAGGAAACATTTATAGAAACTGTTTATGTTACAAAGAATATCGACTACAACTAATGACATTTAAAATGTGAGAGACACTGTTCTAGGCCTTTCACATATATGATCTGCTTTCTTTCAACAACCCTACGAGGTAGGTACTGTTATTATTCCCCACATTACAGAAAAAGAAACAGGCAAAGAGAAGTTAGCTAACTTGCCCAAGATCATTCAGCTAGTATTATACTGATACCCTAGACAGTCTAGTTTTAGAGCCTGTGCTCTTAACTACTATATATACTATCTTTCAATGTTTATAAATTAACAACCCTGAGAACACTACATAGCCAAAAATCTGTGAAATGTGGCCAAATGGGCAATTAGAAGAAAGGTTATAATCTTAATAGGCTTTGTTACTTAGCAAAACTATAAGCTAGTTCTCTTGTGGCCTAACAAAATGGTGTATCCCAGAGAGTTTTCATGTGAAATGGAGAAAAAAATGTGTATTCTGCTGTTTTGGGATGGCCATTGTTTGTATATGTCTGTTATATCTCGTTAATACTCTTATTCAAGTCCTTTATTTTCTTGTTGATAATTTAATTGTTCTGTCCATTATTGAAAGTGTGGTATTGAAATTCCAACTCTCATTGTAGAACTGACTATTTCTCCCTTCAATTTTGTCGGTATTTACTCCGTATAATTTGGGGCTCTCTTGTTAAGTGCATATATGTTCATAATTGTTATATCTTCTTTATGTATAGAACATTTTTATCAATTTCTAAGGTTCTTTGTCTCTTGTAACAATTTTATCTAAAATGTATTTTGTCTGATATTAGTAAAGCCATCTCAGCTTTCTTTGTTTTCTATTTACATCCTTTCACTTTTAACATATTTATGTCTTTGGATCTAAAGTGAGTCTTTTGTTAGGGAGCATATAGTTGGATCATGTTTAGTTTTTTTCAACTAAACCTGCCAACTTCTGCCTTTTAATTAGAGAGTTTAATCCATTTATTTAAAGTAAGGAATAGTGGATACTTGTGTTGGAGGTAGCCTGAAGGAAGAGGGCTATGATAGGAGAGTGTCCATGGGGCTTCTAAGCAGCTGTGGATGTTCAGTTTCTCATTCTGGCTGATAAGTACACGGTATTAATTCTTTCTTTACACTACACATATATGTGTTACACATTTTTCAGTGAATGGTATAAATTTCACAATAAAAATTTTATTAAAGTAATTTAATTTTATTCATTTAATTTCTCCTTCATGAGGATTATGTGAAAGATATAGAATTATTGGTTGACAGGGTTTTTTGTTTGTTTGTTTGTTTGTTTGTTTGTTTGTTTTCTTTTAGTGCCTTAAGTATGTCATCCCACTGACTTCTGGCCTGCATGGTTTCTTCTGGGAAATTGGGTGGAATCTTATTGAGGATCCCATGTACATGATGAGTCACCTTTTTCTAGCTGCTTTCAAGATTCTCTCTCTGTCTTTCCACAGTTTGATAATGTGTTTCAAAATTTGTGGATCTCTTTGTGTTCATCATTGTTCGAGTTTCCTCAGCTTCTTGGATGTGCAGATGCATATCTTTTATCAAATCTGGGAAGTTTAGGGTCATTATTTCTTCAAATATTCTTTGTGTCCCTTTATCTCTTCTCCCCTCTTTCTGAAATTCCCATTAGGTATATGTTGGTATGCCTGACTGAGTCCCACAGGTCCTTCAGGCTCTGTTCATTTTACTTCATTGAAAAAGTTAATTGAAAAATGTAGCCTTAAAGCTGTAGCTAAGTAGACTTGCTATTTCTTCCCTCCTGAACAGATCTTATCAACAGTAATTGGCACAGCTGAGCACAGACCCTCTGTAGTGGAGAGCAGACCAGTATTTATGCTTTCTGCAAGTGAGCAGACCTAACAAAAGAATCCAGCAGTAGCTGAGCTACAAATCCTTCTAAACTCTCTTATAGGATTAGTCAATTCTTTTTCCCTGGTAATGAGTGAATGAGGGACATAATCCAGAGGTGTTAATTTGTACTGAATTCCTTTGGCAAAGATTCACCAAAAAATGAGGAAAATTTTTCCCATCTAACAGTATACATATAGTAATTTATGATAAAAGTTGCATTTCAAATAAATGGATAATTCAATAAATGTATTAGTGTTCCTGGCTAACTTTTGAAAATACAGTTAAATTCTCAACTTTTTAGATTTCATAAAGCCAGTTTGTTTTCTATGTATATTATGCTACAATAAACAGTTTTAAATAAAAGTGTATGTATTGTAATATGAACTCTTATTTATTAAAAAATATGCATATGTATTTGAGTACATACATAAATGTGAATATGGAAGGGCATACTCAAAATGTTAGCAGTTATCTTTGGGTGATGGAAATACAAGTCATATTTACCTTTTCTTTTAAACCGTGATCATGTCTTTTTACTCAGCTAAAAAGTAAAATTATTTTTCTGTAGATGTTATGTAGCCAATTGTTACTCTTGAATTAAACCAGTAGACAGAAGCAATGTTTTATAATTTACAAAAACTATTTAGGAATATCTTAGACTCAGAAATGCTCAAAACACAAGTTAGGTGGGAATACTTTTTTGATACTAGTTAAAATAGCTTTCTTTAATAGTGTAAGTATAAAATTTGGAGGTTGCAATCATTCATTATTTATTATTCCATCTTGTACATGATATTATGGAATGTGGTTTGCAGTTTTCTATTTCTTAGATTAATTTATTCAAATGAACAAATGTAACGATGGTACCCAAAGTAAAATTACTAATGTTATTTATGTTCAAAGAAGAAACAACTTGAAATCACCCTAACATTGTAGAGTGCTCATTTATAACATGTGTATTTATTTATGTAGCAATTATGTTATTAGTGCCATATAACAATATATTTCTATATGCTCAACTTACTAAATTTCACTTAAAGGAAGAAAAAACAGGTTAGGTAATTGAATATTCAAAGACATAACTTCTATGGTTTTTTCACTTCATGAACATGGAAATTATACCCTTTGCAATTCAGCAAAATATACAAGGTATTTATTCTGTGTATGACTTTGCTGGACACTATTAAGTTCAATAAGATAGACATGTTATTATGAAATGTGAGTTAACAGTCCTACTTACTGAAAACCTTGTTAAATACCAAAGATCCTTCATTTTACATTATGAAAATAGAAGTTCTAACAATGAAATAGTTGCATTTATTAGATCCAGAGTTTGTTTTTATTTTTAGGGAAAAGAATAGTTTTTAAATCACTTTACTTTAACTGAAAGTTTAGTAAGTTTACCATGTAGGAACATATTGTTATGTGGTCACTGATAAAATAATTATTATATAAGCCTTTCATTGTTATATCAGCAATGAAGGGATGGGAGCTTTTTAAAAAAATTTGGAGATAAATAATGTTTATCCAATTTTTGTTTAGTGACTGTTGTTATATTTGCTCACATGAATAAACATAGATAACTTAAACAAAAAATTTAAGATATGTTAATAACCATAATACACTACAAGTATTTTTTGGGAATAGTCTATCATTTTCCCAACATATATGATCTTTTCACATAAGTACATAGGAAAGTTTTCTTGATAAAAGTGGAATTAAATGATTATAAATAAAAGTTTTATAGAATAGAACATGTTATAAGTTAACCATAAGTAAAGGAATATGGCTGTCTTAGTCCATATCACAACAGCTCTATACTGACAGATTGATGGGATCATGCTATACTAGCTTGGGATAGAGGGGAGGTGTAGGGATCCGAACGGATGGTGAAGATAATTTGAAATTATCACTAAAACACTAAAGTATTTGTAGGTGCTAAAAGTGTGATGGTTATTGATCTCTTAAGGTGTCTTCATGATGTATTTCTTTTTCATTTTTATCCACTTCCTGCCATTGTAAAACAATAGTACTTCTTTTCGAGACAGTAGATATTCTTATCTATTTGCTGTGACTAGTTATGTATAAACTAAAATATTAGAATTTGGTGTAAAGTAATTTTTACCTGTCTGTCTCTTTATTTAGGTATAATGTCTACTGCTTGGGATTTGTATGATTCTTATAGCGCCCTGGAACTTTCATCTCTACCAGAAAAACAATCTATAGTTGATTCAAGTGGTAGAGCAAGCATAGCTTCTAAAGATCGGGACCAAAGAGGGCCAGGAAGTACTATAGAAAAAAGTAAATTTTCATTTATTTCTATTTTTTTCATGAGATTTTCACATGACATTTTTAATAAATTCTTTTTTAGCAATTATAATATTTCTGGTGGAACATGAAAAATATTTTTGTGTCTATATTCATGAGGGATTTTATTAAGAATTTTGGTGTTTATATGCATGAGGGATATTGGTCTGTATCTTCTTTTTTTTAAAGATTTTATTGGGGAAGGGGAACAGTTTTGGGGAATTGAGGAAGGGGACCAGCCAAGTTGTTGTCCTTCAATCTTAGTTGTGGAGGGCGCAGCTAGCTCAGCTCCAAGTTCAGTCACCATCCAGCCACCCGTCAGCAGCTCGCGGTTGCTCAGCTCAAAGTGCCATGTTCAATCTTAGTTGTGGGTGGGCATAGCCCACCATCCCATGTGGGAGTCGAACCGGCAACCTTGTTGTTAGGAGCATGGATTCTCACCAGCTGAGCCATCTTGCCACCTGTTGGCAGCTCAGCTCTGGCACAGCTCACTGGCCTACATGGGTATTGAACCGGCGACCCTGTTGCTCAGAGCTCGTGCTCTTAACCAACTGAGCCACTTGGCTGGCCCTGTATCTTCTTTTGTACTTTCTTTGTCTGGTTTTGAAATACTAACTTCATAAATTGAATTAGAAAGTTTTCCTTCAACTTCTGTTTCCTGAAAAAGATTATGTAGAATTGGTGTTTATTCTTCCTTAAAAGTTTGGTAGACTTCTCCAGTAAAACCATCTGCTCCTGGAGATTTTTTGGGAGGGAGTTTTTACAATTACAAATTCAATTTCTTTAAATTTGAAATTATATTATATTGGATAAGTTGTAGTAGTTCATATTTATGGAATAATTGCTTCATTTCATCTAAGTTGTCAAGTTTATGTATATAGAGTTATTTGGTGTATTCCTTTATTATTCTTTTGATATCCTCAGGGTTTGTAGTATCTCCTATTTCATTCTTGAGTTTAGTATTTTGTGTCTTTTCTTTTTATCTTTGTCTGTTTTGCTCGAGGTTTGTTAATTTTATTGATCTTCTCAAAGAACCAGCTATCTGTTTCTCTGATTTTTTTCTGGTTTTCTGTTTCCAGTTACATTGACTTCTGTTCACATCTTTTCTATTTCCTTCTATCTGATAGCTTTCAGTTTATTTTGCTTTTCATTTTTAGGTTCTTGAGTTAGGAGCCTAGATTATTGATTTGACACTTTCCCCTTTTCAAATATACATTTAGTGCTGTAAATTTTTCCCTCAGCACTGCTTCAACTTTGTCACCCAAATTTTAATATGTTGTTTTGATTTTCATTAAATAAATATAGTTTTTAAAATTTTCCTTGAGACTTTCTTTTTGACCCATAGATTATTTAGAGGTGTGTTTTAGAGATTCTACATGTTTGGAGATTTTTCTATTATCTTTTAATTATTGATTTCTAGTTGTATTCCATTGTGGTTAGAAAACACTGTGATTTCTCTTCATTTCAATGTGTTAAATTTTGTTTTATGGTCCACAATATGACCTATCATGGTTTATGTTTCAAGGGCACTTAAGAAGAATATATATTTGACTGTCATTGGATCGAATGTTATATAAATATCAATTAGATGTTTTCGGTTGGTGGTGTTCTTGAGTTCTTTTATATCCTTGGTGATTTTCTGTCTCGTCATTTTATCAAATCTTGGATGTGTCTGTTTCTCCTTTCAGTTCTATCAGTCTTCAAAATTTTTTTTAAAAATTTATTCAATTACAGTTAACATTCAATGGTTTCAGGTGTATAGCATAGTGATTAGATGTCTATATAACTTATGAAGTAATCCCCTTCAATAAGTCTAGTATCTACCTGGCACCATACATAGTTATTACAATATTGTTAACTATAATCCTTATGCTGTACTTTACATTCCCATGACTATTTTGTAACTGCCAATTTGTACTTCTTACTCTCTTCACCTTTTGCATCCAGCCTCTTAACTCCCCTTCCATCTGGCAACCATCAGCTTGTTTTCTGTATCTGAGTTTGTTTCTGTTTTGCTTATTTGTTTATTATGTTTTTTTGGATTCCACATATAAGGGAGATCATAGAGTATTTGTCTTTCTCTGACTTATTTCACTTAGCATAATATCCTCTAGCTCCATCCAGGTTGTCACAAATTGTAAAGAGTTCATTCTTTTTATGGCCCAATAATTTTCTGTTGTATATATGAACCACATCTTCATTATCCAGTTGTCTATTGATGAACATTTGGGTTGCTTTCATATCTTGGCTACTGTATATGAAATGTCCTTCTTTGTCTCTAGTTCTTTGCCTTTGGTTTAAAGTCTATTTTATCTGCTATAAGTATTTCTACCTCAGCTTCTTTTCATTTTCATTTTCATCAAATATCTTTTTCCATCCCTTTACTTTTAGTCTGTGTGTGTCTTTCCATCTGAAGTGAGTATCTTGTAGGCAGCATATGTAAGCTTCTTGTCTTTGTAGTCATTCAGCTACCCTGTGTCTTTTGATTGGAGCATTTAATCCATTTACATTTAAAGTGATTATTGAGATGTACCTAGTTGTTGCCATTTTATTATTCATATTTATGTACTTCCCCCCCCCTTCTTAAAGAAGTTCCTTTAACATTTCTTGTAATACTGGTTTGGTGGTGATGAACTCCTTTAGCTTTTTCTTGTCTGGGAAGCTCTTTATCTGTCCTTCAATTTTAAACAATAGCCTTGCTGGGTAGAGTAGTCTTGGTTGTAGGTCCTTACTTTGCATTACTTTGAATATTTCATGCCAATCCCTTCTTGCCTGCAAAGTTTCTGTTGAGAAATCAGCTGACAGTCTTTTGGGGGCTCCTTTGTAGGTAACTACTGCCTTTCTCTTGCTGCTTTTAAGATTCTCTCTTTGTCTTTAAGCTTTGTCATTTTAACAATGATGTATTTTGGTGTGGGCCTCTTTGGGTTCATCTTTTTTGGGACTCTCTGCTCTACCTGGATGTGTATGTCTATTTCCTTAACCAGGTTAGGGAAGTTTTCCATCATTATTTCTTCAGGTAGGTTTTCAATTCCTTGACCTCTCTCTTCTCATTTAGGTACCCCTATGATGCAATTGTTGTTACACTTGATGTTGTCCCAAAGGTCCCTTAAACTATCCTCATTTTTAAAATTCTTTTTTCTTTTTGCTATTCTAATTGAATGTTTTTTGCTACCTTGTTTTCCAAATCGCTGACTCGATCCTCTGCTCCACCTAATCTACTGTTAATTCTATCTAATGTATTCTTCATTTTAGTTATTGTATTACTATTTCTGACTGGTTCTTTTTTATGGTTTCTATTTCTTTGTGTAAGTTCTCACTAAGTTCACATATGGTTTCCCTGAGTTCATTGAGCATCCTTATACCCAGTGTTTTGAACTCTAAGATAATACATTTTCATGTTTTTAATCCACTAACTTTTTGATAATTTATTATAGCATCAATAAAAAATCAACACTGATATAATTTTCTTATAAAGCAATAATCAGATCAGACCTATATCTGAACACTGATATTCTTATTGTAATTGGAATAAAAATGTATAGAGATAAAAATTATCTCATGAGGTTGTCATTGCTTACCTTATGAAAAACAGTACATTTTTAGGTAGCTAAGAATTCCAAATGTAATAATATATATGTATCTTGCATGTGCTTGAAACATAAAATATATTCAATAAGTGTCTACTGAAGTTGTTGAATACTGGAAAAAAACAAATAGTAATGACAAAATTGTCATTTTAAAATACTTAGAATGTGTGAGTCATCTAATATTTGGATTATATTATCATTGTATCATTTTGTATTTTACAGATAGTGAAGCTAGTTCTCTGATGGATATAGAAAATGTAATTCTTGCTAAAATGCATGATGATGAAGAAGACCACTCAGATGCAATATTCAAATCTGAAAAGTTCCATCAGGACTTATTTTTTATGGAACGAGTTCTAATGGAAAATATATTTCAGCCAAAACTTGCAGCTTATCGTCAGCTTCCTGTTTTAAAAGGTATTTTTTAAAACTCACATTTAAACAAACTCAAATAATTTAAAAAATTAAATGGTGTTGTTAATTATTTCTAAATGTAATCTCCAGACTGGGTTATCACTTATCAGAAGATACATTTATATACGTAGCTTTCGGCATGAAAGATGTGAGTAGCACTAGAGTCTAGACTAGAGAGCCCACAGCAAGAGGTAGTCCCTGAGAGTCAAAACTTTGTAAGCATCTATGGTTTTCTTATTTCTGCATTAAATTATACTTTCATATTCAAACTTTCTTTTCCATTTCCATTGACATGTTCCAGGTTCTGGCTTTTGTTACCTCTCCCTAATTGTATTGCAGGGACATGCTTCCCATTCTCATTGCTACAAATCCCATCTCATATGTTCTCAGTATATTTTGAAGGATCCTAGAGATGATCTAATTCAACCTTCCAATATTTGAATGAAGAAAATGAAGGCTATAGAAACTTTCTAAGGTTACATAGTCTATGACAAAGCTAGGCATTCAACCAAAATCTTTTGATCCCATTCCAGGTCTTTTTCCACTCTACCATCCTAGCATGCTGATGTATCATGAACACAGGTTTGAATATGGCATTTAACTGCTAAAAAAGTGCTCTGTACCTTCCCATTGCCTAGAATAAATTACAAACTTCACATGTATCATACAAAGATATTTGCAATCTAACCACAGACTACTTTATCTCATTGTGTTACTTCAGAGACAACTAAAAATTAGCTATATTAGACTTATCTGATAATCCCCAAACAGAACCTAAATGTTCCTGCCTTAGTAACCTTAGTTAGGATATGCTTGACAGTCCTCCCTTGTACCCATCCCATCTTTGCCTACTGCAGTCGCAGTTTTCATGTATGGATAAGGGAAAACTACTTCATGAAATCTTGATCCTTCAAGTCAAAATTGAACTTCTGTATGCCTACAGCAAAAAAATTAGGTTACAAAATAAAATAGAAAACAATGAAATACTATGCTCCTACTCTCATATTAAGTTGATATTTAAAATTTTTCATCATATATGTAAACTTTTCATCTTATATTTATTTATTGTTGAATTTATTGGGGTGAAATTGGTTAGTAAAATTAAATAGGTTTCAAGAGTACAATTCTGTAGTATATCATCTATATATTGCATTGTGCATTTACCACCCAAAGTCAGTTCTCCTTCCATCACCATATATTTGACCCCCTTTACCCTCTTCTACTGCCTCCCTACCCCTTTACCCTCTGGTACCCACTAAACTGTTGTCTGTGTCTATGCGTTTTTGGTTTTTGTTTGTTTGTCTTGTTCCTTCATTGCTTTCAGTTTTATATCCCACATATGAGTGAAATCATATGGTTCTCAACTTTTTCTGTCTGACTTATTTCGCTCAGCATGATAATCTCAAGATCCATCCATGTTGTTGCAAATGGCAGTATTTCATCTTTTCTTATAGCAGATAGTATTTCTTTGTGTATATGTACCACATCTTCTTTATCCAATCATGTATCAAAGGACATTTCAGTTGTTTCCATATCTTGGCCACTGTGAGTAATGGTGCAATAATGGTGCAATGAACATAGGAGTACATATATCTTTATGTACATAAAGGTAAATGTTTTCAGATTTTTTGGATAGATACCCAAAAGAGGGATTGCTGGGTCGTATGGTAATTCTATTCTCAATTTTTTGAGGAACCTCCATACTGTTTTCCACAGTGGCTGCACCAATTTACATTCCCACCAACAGTGCATGAGGGTTCCTTTTTCTCCACAGCCTTTCCAACACTTGTTATTACTTGTCTTCTTGATGATAGCCATTCTAACAGGTGTGAGGTAGAATCTCAATGTGGTTTCGATTTGCATTTCCCTAATAGTAGTGAAGTTAAGCATCTTTTTATATATCTGTTGACTGTATGTCTTCTTGGGAGAAGTGTCTGTTCAGAGTTATAAGGTTGAAATTTACTAAATATTGTTCATTTTGATATTTTAAAAAGAAAACTATTGGTAGATCACTTCTTTAAATGTATCTAAGAAATGGAAATACCATAAGAAAAAATTTAATGAGGTAAGATTTACATACAATGGAATACAGATATTTTAACTGTATAGCTTGATACATTTTAAAAATATATAAGTCTGTGTAACTAATACCCTAATTGACATAGAGAATATGTCCATCAGTCCCATACTTTCTCTTGTGCTGTTTTCCAGTTAAACTTTACCCCCCATAGAAGACATTAACCTGATTTCTCTCACCATAGATTAACTGCTTTGGTATATCATGCAAGTGGATTCATATAGTAAGTACTCTTTTGTGTCTGGCTTCTTTCACCCAACATAATGTTTTTGAATTCTAGGTTGATGCGTATATAAGTAGTTCATGTTTTCCCTGAGTGGTGTTCCATTTTATGAATATATTGTAATGATTTGTATATTAAGTCACCTATTGATGGATGCCTGAACTGTTTCCAGTTTGTGATTATTATAAATAAACCTTGCAGTGATCATTTTTGTGTGTCTTTTGGTGGACGTATGTTTTAATTTCTCTTGGGTATGGCATATATTGGGTCATTGGATAGATGAATGTTTAACTTTTTTAGAAACTGCAAAATACCTTTCCAAAGTACTTGTACCATTTTACAATCCCACAAGCAATGTAGAAGAATAACAGTTGCTCCACATTCTTGATAACACCTGATGTTGGCAATGTTTTTAATGTCCTAAAGACTAATCGTGTTGAGTACTTATTCATGTGTTTTCTTTTTGTAATTTGTATATCTTTTGTGTAATGTTTGGCCAAGAACTTTGCCTATTTTAAAATTGAGTTGTCTTTTTTTATGTATTTATTTATTTTAATTAAAGTTTATTGGGATGAGAGTTGTCTTTTTTTTTTTTTTAAACCAAGTTGTAGTCGCTTACTTTTATATATTCTGGATATAAGCTCTTTGAAAGTTACATTGCAACTATCTTCTGTAAGTCATTGGCTTGCCAATATATTTGTCTTTTGATAAGCAGAAGTTTTTAATTTTGATGAAGTCTTATCTATCAGCTTTTTCTTTTGTAGTTAATGCTTTCCATGTCCTCTCTAAGAAATCTTTGCCTGCCACAGAGTTGCAGATTTCTTTGCCCTGTTCCTGAACTTAGTGTGAAAGTATTCAATATTTCACTGTTAAATATAATATTAGATATAGTTTTTTTATAGATGTATTTTATTGATTTGAGGAAATTTTCTTCTTTTTCTAGTTTGCTAGACATTTTAAAAGATAAATGATTGTTCAATTTTGTTCAAATATTTTTCTACACCTATTAAAATGGTCATATAATTTTCCTCTTTCACCTGTAAATGTGGCCAATTTTATTGCTTGATTTTCAAATGTTAAGACAAACTGAATCCGTCTGGTTAAACCTCACTTGGTTATGTTGTTTTTTCCTTTTTATGTATTGGTGAATTCAACTTTCTGATACTCTGTTAAGAATTTTTGTAACTAGGTTCATGCAGCACATTTTTCTGGAATTTTCTTTTTCTGTAAAGTTCTTGATGGGGTTTGTATCAGTGTTATGATAGACATACGAGTATGTGTAATTGGAATTGTAGTAGTAGAAAAGAGAAGAGGGGAAGCAGGAAAATATTTGAAGAAAGAGTAGATTAAAGTTTTTCATACATGAAAAATTTAAACCAACAATTATAAGAAGTTCAGAGTAACCAAAGCAAGATAAACACACTGAGGCACATCAATAAGTAATATGTCAAAAAACAATAAAAGTTGCCCCCCAAAAAAAGTTGTCCCAGGGAAGAAAGTGAATAACCCCCTATTTCTTATCAGAAGCCCGAAAACAAAGCAATGACATTTTTACTGTGCTGAAAAAGTCTATACCTAGACAAAATATTCTTCAGAAATCAAGGTGAAATAAAATGTTCAGAAAAACAAAAGCTGAGAGACTGTGTCACCAGCAAACCAGCATTGCAAGACGTGTTCAAGGAAGTTCTTCAGGCTGATGGAAAATAATAGCTGAAATTAGGATCTACTCTATGAAGAGTGCTAGAATTGAAAAACGTGAGTAAAGGTAAGAGATATTTCCCACCATTTTAAATTTCTTTGAAGATAACTAAATTGACAAGATGGTTCTAAATTTTATATGGCAAAGCAAAGGACCAAGAAATAACCAAGTCAATTTTGAAACAGAAGAATGGAGTTGAAGGACTTACCCTACTTGATTACAAGTGACTTACTTTAAAGCTATAGTAATCAAGGCAGTGTGGCATTTGTCTAAGGACAGACATACGGATGACTCAAATGGAATAGTAGGTCCATAAATTAATACAGGCCTAGCTGATCAATTGATTTTTTGACAAACATGCTGAGGTGATTCAGTAAAAGAAGGCTGATTTTATGCTGAAAAAAATTGGATATCTATATGGGGTGAAAAATGAACTTCAACCCCTATCTCATATATAAATTAACTCAGACTGAACCACAAATTTAAATGTAAAATTTTAAACTATAAAGTCCTAGAAGAAGGTAAAAGAGAAAATTTTTATGATCTTATCATAAGAAAGGATTACTTAATACACAAAAATTCCAAGATATATAAAAAAAAATTGATAAGACTTTTCAGATAGTTAAATGTCTACTCTTTGAATAACACTGTTAAGGGGGAAAAAATGCAAACAACAGACTAGAAGAATATGTTTACAATACATACATCTGACCAAAGACTTATATTTGGAATATATAAAGGATGCTTACAGATTAATAAAAAGAAGATAAACAGTGTAATGGAAAATAGGTAAAAGGTTTAAACAGAAAGTTCACAAAAACATACATGAATGTCCAGTAGACACCTAACAAGGTGCTGAACTTGAATTAGTCATCAAGGAAATGCAAATTAAGACCATAACAAAATGCCACTGTGTACTAACTGGAATGGCTAAAATTAAAAAGACTGACAACACAAGTGTTAGCAAGAATATGAGGTTACTGGGTTTTTTATATGTTGCTGTGAAAGTGTAAAATTACACAACCATGTTGGAAGTCCATTGGGAAATTTTTTTAAATGTTAAATATAGATCCATCCAATGACACGATAATCCTGTTCCTGGATATTTACCCCTTAAAAAGAAAACAAATGTCCACAAAGAATACTTGTATAAGAATATTCATAGCAGCTTGATTCATAATAGCCAAAAACTGGAAACAGCCCAGATGTCTATTGACAGTTACGTCAATGTGTAAACAAATAATGGAGCACTACTCACTCTAAAAATGAACGAACTACTTATGTACATAATAACTTTGATGAATCTCAAAATCATTGTCGGGTGAAAGAAGCCAGACACAAAAGAATACATACAACAAACTCATTTATATATAGCCTATCACAGACAAAACTAATCGGAGGTGATAGAAATCCAACCAGTATTTGCTGATGGTGGGTAGGGTTTGACTGGAAAGTAGTACAAAGTAACTTTTATGGTTGATAGATATGTTCTCTGTCTTGATTGGGGTGTTGGTTACCTGAGTGTATACACATTTATCAAAACTCATCAAACTATACAGCTAAAATGTATGCATATCAATAAAATATAAATTTTCTCAAAATTAAAAAGTGCTGTGGTGTTTATATTATTTTGGATTCATTTAAAGAGTGGTATACCACTGTTATTTTTTTAACAGCTTTGTTGATGTACAAGTGACATACAATATATACTTCACATATTTAAAGTATCCAATAAGCTTTGACCCATCACCACAATCAGTGAATATATGCAATTACATATAATGATAATGAATGTATTCATCACCCTCCAGTGTTTCTTCACCTTCTTTATAACCCTTTTTTTCCCCTATTCCTCCTCACTGCTCCCCACCGTAAGAAATCACCAATTTGCTTCATACCCCTATATGGATTAACTTGCATTTTCTAGAATTATATATAAGTGTAACTTTACATTATGTACTTTTATTAGCTGGCAAAATAACGGGTGGATCCTATGTCAGACATATATTTAACTTCTTTTCTAATACATGCCCTCTAAGCATGCTTTAGCTGAATCTCATAAAATTTGATATGTTGTATTTTCATTTCATTAAAATATTTTAAATTTCTCTTGAGACTTCTTCATTGACCCATGTGTTATTTATAAATGTGTTGTTTAATATTCAAATATTTTGGGATTTTCTAGCTATCTTTTTGTTATTTCTAATTTAATTGCATTGTGGTCTGAGAGTATATTTTGTATGATTTCTATTCTTTTACATAATTATTAAAGTTATTTTATGGCCCATAATGTGGTCTGTCTTAAAGAATATGCTATGGCACTTCAGGAGAATATGTATTCTGGTGTTTTTGGATGGAGTGTTTTATAAATATCATTTAGGTCAACTTGATAGTGATGCTCAGGTCATCTGTATCCTTACTGATTTTCTACCTACTTGTTCTATCAATTGTCAAGAGAGGAGTGTTGAATTCTTCAACTATAATTGAGGATTTATTTGTTTCTCCTTTTAGAGCTATTGTTTTTTGTTTTATATATTTTGAGGTTGTTAGGCACATACACATTTTGGGTTGTTACAACTTCTTGGATAATTGATAATTTTTCCAATTTATACAGGCAGAAAGAAATCTGGGGAATATATGTGGAAATTGGTATCAAGGGTATAGGATAATGATGGAAGGAATATAAAGTCAGATTAGGCCAAATGTATTGACATGGGTCCACTAAACAGAGATCCTGGAGTCAGTGTTGTAGCTCAAGGGATTAAAAATGGCTCTAATAAGATTTTTTTTCTTGGTGTGTTTTTTTTGTGTGTGTGTGATTTGCTGATAATGGATTAAAATATGGCCTTCATTAAATGAAGCTAAAATATCAGAACCACTTTGGTGTACTATAGAGAAAGATATCCAAAGACTTAGGGGCACTGGATTGTTAGAGTGGATTTATCATGATGACCTGATCACCCACTTGGGGAGGGTCCAGATAACACACTTTTCACCACAATTGTGAGGAATAAGTTTGTGAGAGGGAGTCCCAGCATTCTTGATGAACTCTGTGGTCACTCTTCTCTGTAGGTCAAAAATTACAGTGGGGCAGTTGCCACTGAGCTGGGATCCTTGATATGATAAGGATAATTGGGTCCTGGGATGGCAGGCACTATGTGGCAGCACTTAATCACCCAGAAAAGATAGGTATGGTTACTATAATGGACAAAGCAGTAACCAGAAGAGTCTGACTCTTAGAGACCCATGGCATTGGCTAGTTGATCATAATGTCCCCAGAAGAGAAATAAGTAGGTGGTGTATTAGTCTGCTAGGGCTGCCATAACAATACCACAAACTGGGTGGCTAAACAATATAAATTTACTTTCTCACAGTTCTGGAGGCAGGAAGTCCTAGATGAAGGTGCCGGCATGTTTGTTTTCCTCTGAGGCCTTTCTTCTTGGCTTGCATATGGCCTCTGTCTTGCTGCATCTGTACATGGTCTTTTCTCTGTGTGTGTGCATCTCTTGTGTCTCTCAGTGTGTCTAAATTGTCTCTTCTTAAAGGATACCAGTCATATTGGATTAGGATCCGTACTAATGGCCTTAGAGTAACTTAATCACCTCTCTAAAGCCTTTGTCTCCAAATACCATTACATCCTGAGATCTGGGGGCTAGGATTTCAGTATAGGAATTTTGGGGAGATACAATTCAGCCCATAAAAGAGACTTCCTAAATTCTTACTTGATCTGTATAAGCAGAAGAGTTCTAAGTCATGTGAACATAAATCTAACTTGAAACACCAAAACAAAGTCATAGCCCCTCAACCAATTCCTAGACTTGAGCCAGTTTATAGACCCAGAACTCTTTGAATGAAGAGGAGGCTGTGTCCATTTGAGAAGGCATTCCACTACACTGCCAAAAATGTATACTCTTAATATTTTTTTTCCGAAAGAACCTACAGCCTTTTATTAGAGTGACTGCATTTGGGGAAAATGAAATAATCAGAAATTTCAGGGATTACTGGACAGTGGCTCTGAACTGACACTTATTCCAGGAGACCCAAAACATCACTGTGGTCCACTAGTCAGAGAGTAAGGACTTAGAGAGGTAAGGTGATCAGTGGAGTTTTAGCTCAGGTCCGTTTCAGTGGGTCCCAGTGGGTCAGTGAGACCAGCCTGTGGTTATTTCCCCTGTTCCAGAATGCAGACTTGGAAGAGAAATATCCAGCAACTGGCAGAATCCCCGCATTTGATCCTTGACCTGTGGAGTGTGGGTTATTATGGGAGAAAATAGCTAAATGGAAGCCACTAGAGCTGCCTCTACCTATGAAAATAGTAAACCAAAGCAATATCAAATTTCTGCAGGGATTTTAGAAATTAATTGTACTGCCAAGGACTTGAAAGGTGCAGGAGTTGTGATTCCCACCACATCCCCCATTCAACTTACGTATTTGGCTTGTATAGAAAACATGAATCTTGGAGAATAACTGAATTATTGTAAATTTAACCAGGTGGTGACTCCAATGTGCAGCTGCTGTTCCAGATTGGGTTTCATTGCCTGAGCAAATTAACACATTCCCTGGTACCTGGTGTGTAGCTATTAATACAGTCTTTTTCAATAACTGTTGATAAAAACCACCAGATGCCATCTGCTTTCAGCTGGCCAGGCCAACAGTACACCTTCACTGTCTTCCCTCAGGGGTGTATCAGCTCTTCAGCTTTATATCATCATTCAGTCTGCAGGGAACTTTCCCTTCAATAAGATATCACACTGGTCCATTACATTGATGACATTATGCTGACTGGACCTAGGGAACAAGAAGTAGACTTATTGGTAAGACGTTTACATGTCAGAGGGTGACTAATACATCTGACAAAATTTCAGGGGCCTTTCACCTCAGTGAAATTTCTAGTTGTCCAATTATGTGGACTATGTCCAGATATATCTTCTAAAATGAAGGATAAATTGTTGCATCTATTCCCTCTTACAACAAAAAAGAGGAACGATGCCTAGTGGACCTCTTCGCATTTTAGAGGCAACATATTCCTTATTTGGATGTGCTACTTTGGCCCATTTGTTGAGTGACCCGAAAAGCTGCTAGCTTTGAGTGGGGCCCAGAACAATAGAAGATTCTGCAACAGGCCAGGGGGTTGTTCAGGGTGCCCTGTCACTTGTGCCATATGATCCAACAGATCCAACGGTGCTTAAAGTTTCAGTGGTAGGTAGAGATGCTGTTTGGAGCCTTTGGCAGGCTTCTGTAGATGGAGAGGGCAATAATCTTTTTATTTGGCTTAATTTTAGAACCAGAACTTGAAGAGCCTGAAGACTTTTTAGAAGGTGAAAATCTTGCGGAGGTAGAAAAAGTGGTTAAGAAGGAAGAGGAGGAAGAAATAGAAATAGGTGCTCAACAATCAACAATACCAGCCAATTTGGAACGACTTTGGTCCTTTTCCTGTGACTTAACTAAAGGCCTTAATGTGAGCAGCCTTGCCTGGAATAAAATAAATCCAGTAAGTTATCGGATGTTTTAACAATTTGTCTTTAATATTTAAGGACAATTGTCAAATACTAATAACGATTTTCTTTTCCCTTAGATTTTAGGCAAGGTATTTAAATGGACATAAGCCCTAGTTTTAAAATGCCTCTAAAACAAGTTCATGTTTCTAAAAGGGGAAAATGCAAATAGTTACAAAGAATGTTTTTCTCCTTTAATATCTAAACATTGCCATTTTTATTTTAGGAGATGTACTTGGGGCATGACATTCTCTGAATCTGTATCAGATATTGAGAAGTGAGCTAGAAGATAGTATATAATTGACTTATTTTAAAATATATCAAACTCATGTACCCAAATTTTTTATTCTCCTTAAATTAATTATATTCAGAAATATATACAATATTTCATTCAGTGACCCTGCAAATGTGCAAATTAATTTTGAGATTCCTTACAATACTATTACTACTAGTAATAGCAAATAAATAGCACTTACTATGTACCAGGCACTGCTATAAGCATTTTAGTTGTATTAACAAAACTTAATTAATTAAAACTGTGAGTTAGGTATTAATTTCCCCATTATGTTGATGAGAAAACTGAAGCTCAGAAAGGATAAATAACATGCCCAAAGTTACACAACTGGTAAGTAAAACAGGTAGAATTCAAACCCAGTCATCTGCCTCCGGTTTTCTTGCTCTTAAGTACTACACTGCTAAAAATCATCTTGAAACAAATTAGATGAATCATCAAGCTGGTGTGTTTCCTTGTAAAACAGAGATGATTCTAGAGTAATGAGAATTATTTTCTCCAGTGGTTTATAAACTGGTTATGAAGACATGATTCTCAACTAGTGATTCCAAAAAACTTTTGTGTAACACCAGTATCTTTGGAGTAAATATTTAGTGTATTTTTAAAGTGGTCAAAACTAATGTATTTGTTTAAATAAACTAGTGTATTGTACTATATATGTTTAATAATTAGCCTTATTATTTTATTACCACACCTTATAAGGTGCTATGTGCAAACATGGTAGTTGTTATGGTTATTAAAAAGCAGAGTGTCTATAATTATTTTTGTTGAAACCTAACTATTATTTAAATTATGTATGTTATATTTTTAATAAAATAAAATATTTTCTGTATGGGTTTATCTTTATAAAACTATTTGAGAACATCTTGTAGATATGTGAGATTTAATAAATCAATAATGACTAATAAAGACAGGTGAATCATATTTAGAAACAACATACTAGCATTTAAAAAATTAACATATTGCCATTGAGATTAAAATTAAATACTTGTAAATGAAGTTAAAAAATATATGACAGATGGCATCTATCATATTTCTTCTTCATTCTACACGTATTTATTGAACATTAACTCTGTGCCAAGAACTCTGTTAAGACACTAGAGATACTGTAGTGATTTACTCACACACGGACCCTGCCCATATAATGGTTTTCTATATGCTTAACTAAGGAAAATAAATAATGCTGTGGGAGCATATAAGAGGGCTCATGAATGCTTCTTAGAGGAAGCGGTGCCTATGCTGAGACTAGAACAGATCAATGGGAGTTTGTCAATGCCAGGGTATAAAGGGTGGCAGTGAAGAGTGTTTTAAAGCAGAGGGAATTGTGGAGAGGTGATGCTAACTTGAAAGTAGGGTGATGTCAAGAAAATATAATAATATGTTTTTTATAAAGGTATTCTGATTGTAAAGAAGAGGCTGTTTTTAAATTTTTTGTCTATCTGTACTTACAGTAGCATTTTTTAAAATGACCTGTTGTGTTAATCAGCTTGTGTTGCATAACAAAAATACCATAAACTGAGTGGCTTAAACAACAGAAATGTATTTTCTCACAGTTCTGGAGGCTGGGAGGTCCAGGAGACTGTGAAATCTCTCCTCCTGGCTTGTAGATGGTGGCCTTCACTGTGTCCTCATGGTGGACAGCTTTGGTGTCTCCTCCTCTCTTTATAAGGCCACCGACACTATCAGATTAGGACCCCACCCTTATTACCTCATTTAACCTTAATAACCTCCTAAAAACTCTATCCTCCAATATAATCACATTGGGGATTAGGAATCCAACGTATGAATTTTGAGGGAGGAAACACAATTCAGTCCATAGCACCTGCCTTTAACTTAAATGTCTTTTATTGTACATTTGAAATTATTAGGTCCTTCTCAAAAACCCATAAGATGCTATAATGTAATAATACAATCTTGAAAGATTATGTTAATATTAAGTAAAAGAAGTTGTTAGCTGTTGGTTCTTTTGGGTATTCTTTAGTCTGAAAATGTGATTATTATTATAATTTTGTTTAGAAATATGGAGCTATAGAGTAAAAATAGATGGTATGCTGGTATTTTTGAAATGCCTTATCACAATTTTTAACACAGTTCATTAATATGCATCTTTATACATTTCTCAATATTTGTATGCCATTCTATCTTATTTTAAATGTATTTTTCTGATTTTCAGGACCTTTTGGCTGTTGGCTATGGGCACTTTGGATTTAAAGAGCAAAGAAAAGGATTGGCTTGTTGCTGGTCAATAAAGAATCCTATGGTAACCCGAATAGGAATAAGACCCATTTTTATTTAGTTAAATGTTTGCATAATTCTCATAAAGTAGACAGTTGAATGTGATAATTATCAAAGTCAAGAAATTTTTTTCAAGCAAGACTTTATTTCCTTTGGTTTAAATATGTAACAATTAAAACTTGTTTTTGTTGATACAGGATAAAGTAAATTCATTTACAAATTCATTCAATAAATATTTATTGAGCATCTACTATGTGCTGTTAGAGTTAATGATCCAGAGCTGAACCATTATTGTTTATTGCAGCTAATTATAAAGAAGAATGAATTTATAAATGAAAATTTATAAATTTGGAAATTACATTAGTAACAGTAAAAATTTGGAAATTACATTAGTAACAGTAATAATTTAATATCAAGTTGTCTCTTAATATATGAATGATTCCTTATCACCTTATAAGATAGATTTCTACCATCCTCAATGGATATAAAATAGATAATATGAACATCTTATTGCCATGAATTTTTCAAAGAGAATGAATACAAATCATGTCATGTTTTTTGCTAAATAGTCCTAGTCAATTTGTTACTTTATAGTTTTACATTTAGTTTTAATTCACAACTGAAATGTAAAGTGGAAGACTTAGAAAAGGATCAGAAGAGCACATAAAAATGAGTTTTTATAAATAGTCCCAGTCTCTTAGAAAGCTGGGTTAATATAGCGTAAAAGAAAGAAAGAAAGCAATTTTAAACATGTAGAAGGACTGGTACAAGATCCGTCGTCAGTAGGTTGTCTTTTTTTCCATGTAGTGTGTTAAAAACACCAGACTAGATTTCAGCCATCATCATACCCTACCTTACCGTGGTCTACAAAACCAAGTTTAAAATGTAATATAATTATTATCTTATTTAGTGGCCAGAACGTATTTATCAGAGTCCATACGGAGTTACTGCTGTGGATTTTTCTATTGGAACACCTAACCTTTTAGCAGTTGGCTATCACAATGGCACCATTGCAGTCTATAACGTACAGAGCACCAGTAACGTCCCAGTTCTGGATAGTAGGTGAGAATCTAAGAATTAGATAAACATATAATACATGCTTTCTTAGGAAGAAGTAAAAATTTACTCAGGGTATTTGGTTCAGGGTGAGTGTTTACGCTGTTAATGAGAGTGACCATTATTTTTCAAACCATTATTTAATAATCCCTCATGCTGTCTCTCCCACTGGAATGTTTTGTCCTAATAGCTCTTTCATCTTCTTCTCTGCCTACTTCACCTACAAACTTCCGTTGGCATGACAGTTTATGCATATTTCTTGTTTCTTTTTAAAAAATTTAATTTTTTTCCAGCTTGATTGAGGTATAACTGACAAAAATTGTATATATTTAGGTAGTATAGTGTGATTTTTAAAGTTGTACAATGTGATGATTAAATATATTCATATGTATACATTGTGAAATGATTACCACAGTCAAATTAATTAACATACCCATCACCTCACATAGTTACCTTTTTTCCTTTTTTGTGGAGAGAACACTTAAGGTCTACTCTCTCAGCATATTTCAAGTATACAATACAGTATCATTAACTGTAGTCACCATGCTGTACATTAGAATCTCCAGAACTTACTAATCATACCACTGATTCTTTGTACCCTGTATTGCTTCAATTTTATCTCCTCCAGGAAACATTCCCATTCTTTTGTGCATCCTATACATATCTTCATCACAGCAAATATCATGGTGTATATAAATTGTTTGTGTGTGTGTATGTATCTTCCTGAGGAGGCTGTAAGCTCCTTGAGGGCAAGGATTAAGTCTTACTTACCTTTGTATTTTCAGTATGCACTTAATATCAGATATATTAACAGGATTACAGTAAGTGTTTAATTAAGAATGAATGAATACAACTGAAACTAATAAAAAAAGAATGAATGAATACATGAATGAGTCATATTGAGAAAATGAAACAGTTAAAGAGAAAAGATATTGAATATGTTAGGTTTCTGTAATAGACTAGATACCAATGAGGCAAAAATGAGGTGGCATATTAGTGTTTGAATAAACTTAGCTAGAGCTGGATGGAAATAGGCATTAAAGCAGGGGTTCTTAAACTTAATTTTGACTATTTGCATAGTTTTGTAAGTGTGGGCCTTACTGCTTATTTCCAGGAAGAGGGTCCATGACGTTTACCAAATAATCAAAAATATATATGATTTTTAAAAAGATTCAGAACTATTGTTTTGGAGGTTGGCATAAAAAAATCAAGGGAGTCAGTGTTAGGAACAGAGCAACCCATTAATCTGATAGGAAAACAGTCAGCATTCTGAGAAGTGATTTTAAAGTTCACTGAGAAGTGAATAAAACTTAAACAACTTGTTCATTTAAGCTATGCAAAAAATCCATATAAAGATGAAGATACTTATATTCAATGTGTCTAAAATAAACTAAATGTACACAACTAGGAAAAGTTAGTGAATAAAGTGAAATAGATTTTGAAAAGGAAGGAAATATTTGCTCTTATATTCCTGTTATGACACCTACTATAGTTAAAGGCAGTACAAATTTTCTTTTGTAAGAAATAAGAAAAGTAGCAGTGACTATTAGGTAGAAAAGTGATCATTTTCCCCATTGTTCAAAATATTTGAAGTTCGGTTTTGAACAATTAAAGCACCATTCTGTAAGTAGGTCATGGTGCTCTACAGAGCTGTCCTTATCACTTATACTCAAAGTCTTTTTAAAAAAATTATTATAATGATTCTATATTTAGTAACTTTCCCTGTTTCAGTGAATCACCTCAAAAACATTTGGGACCTGTATGGCAGCTCCAGTGGATAGAGCAAGATAGAGGAACAACGGGTGATGACAAAAGAGAAATACTCGTTTCTATATCAGCAGATGGAAGAATCTCCAAATGGGTTATACGGAAAGGACTGAACTGTCACGGTAAAAAATATGTATCCATATGTATATATCAAATTATCTTTCTCCTGTTATATGCTGAATTAAAACTTCCGAGTGAGCCATGTGTAAGAGGTGCCAAATTTTGGTTTTGCTAAATAAGAAAAAAACTGGGCTTGGTCATTGTTTTTGTAAGCACCTAGTTCTGGTATTTGCTAATTTTAACCTAATCCCATGCAAAAGATGGCAGAAATCATAATATCGTTTGCAGAGGGACACACATTAGATCTACAATACATTTTCATGTGGTAAATAAGATATACATGTTTTTTCTTTAAATAAAGATTTGATGCGTTTGAAGCGAACTGCTGCCAGAAGCAGCAAAAAAGGAGGGGAAAAGGAAAAGAAAGGTGAAGCTTTGATATCTCGACAGGCTCCTGGAATGTGTTTTGCTTTTCATCCCAAGGTAAATTATTTCAATCCATTATTTACTACCGCATATAATAATGTTCAGTAATTGAAGTGGATTAAGATATAATGCAAGACAAAAGATTAGCATGTTAATTAATATTGTGTCTTGTGAGTAAAAAAATAACAAACATAGCTGCCAACCTAAGGTAGAATGGCACATTTCAGTGGACTACACTGTTTTCTAGAGGAAAGGCCGTTACTTCTGAGGATCTATGGCAGGATCATCATTACAACTGTATGTTTAACTTGAGTGCCCCTCCTTGCCCGTTTTTTTGTGCTCTGCTGCTCTGTCATGCTGATAGAAATCAAATGCATACATAGAGACCTCTATATTCTCAATGTAGTGGTGACTCTGCTGATTCTGGGGATCAGGAAGACCACTTAAGTTCCTGCTTACCCAGACCAGAATCAAATAAAGAACAGTTAAGGAAGCCCTACTTTTTCTAATTCTTTGGAGTTTCTTTGGGAACAGAAAATTCAGCCATTAGGACACACTTGAGAAAACATATCCTGTGTGTTTTCTGTTACGTGTATAATAATACGGTCGTGTCTTTAGTGACACCATGATCCACTGCAGATCCAGACTTGAGCTCCTACTCTGTTCTACCCTGTCTTCCAAATAATATTTAAGTCCTATTGGCCACTCCTTCCAATCCAAGCTTACTACTACTGATGTAGTTCAGGCCTCTATTATGTTTCATTTTTATAACACTGTTGTCATATTCTAACCACCTTCATTCTCAAATTCCTCTAATCTGCTTTTCACCTTAACTCTAGAACAGTGGTTCTCAATATGAACAGAGATTGGTGGTGGAGGGGGATATTGTCCCACCAGGGGGCATTTCACAATGTCTTAAGAAGTTTTTGGTTGTTGCAGCTGTAGGAGGTGGGGTATGGGGAAGAGTGCTATTGGCATCTAGTGAGCTAAGTCCAGGAATGCTGCTAAACATCCTACAATGCACAAGACAAACACTGCCCCTTCTCCCCCGCAACAATGAATTAGCTAGCCCAAAATGTCAATAGTGCTGGGTTGAAAATCCCTAGTCTTAGTCTGGTGTCCTAGAAATGTCCTTGGTGTGAGGAATTCGAGATGATCATGTAGTCTGTAAATAAAGAGTTGTACTTTTTCTTTTCTAACCTGGTTACCTTTTTTTTAATTTTTAAATTTTTTTTTATTGACTATTGCACTGGTTAGAACCTCCAGCACAAGAATGAATGGAAGTGGTGAAAACAGACATTCCTGTCTTATTGTTGATCTTAGGGAGAAAGCATTCAGTCTTTTACTATTAAATATGATGTAAGCTGAAAGATTTTTGTAGGTGGAATTAATCAGGTTGAGGAAGTCCCATTACGTTGCTGTTTGTTGAGATTTTTATCAGGAATGGATGCTGGGTTTTTATCAAATGCTTTATTTGCACCTATTGATATGATTACATCATTTTTCTTTCAAAGTTTGTTAATATGGTGAATTATATTGATTGATTTTTTTAAATGTTTGTTCCTGGTATAAACCCCACTTGATCATGATTAACCCTTTTAATATACTGTTGGATTTAATATGTTAAAATTTTGTTTAGTATTTTTACGTTTTTGTAAGGGGAATTGGTCTATAGTTTTCTTGTAATGTCTTTATCTGGTTTCGGTATCATAGTTCAACTTAGATCTCTGCTCATTTCCTGTTTTCCTCAAAGCATCCTTGAGAGATCTCCCCAGTACATCTCTTGCATGAAAATCTCAGAGTAGCAGAGTTTATATACTGAGGAACCCAACCTTAGACAGTAACCTCTAGAGAAAGTTGACCTACTTGTAAATGATGTTGAGATAATCATTAGCCATATGAAAAATGGAATTAGATCCCTACCCTATTCTAAACAAAAAAAAACTTTAGAACGATATGTAGGAGAATATCTCTATGACCTCAAAGTAGGAAAAACTTCTTCAACAAAGGACAGAAAATGCTAACAATATAAAATATAATACAAGCTACATTGAAATGAGAACTATTGTTTGCCAAAAGACATCAAAGAAAGTAAAAATAACATACACTGGGAGAAGATATTTGTAATATATGTAATATATAAAGAACTTATACAAAAGAATATGAAAAAGACAAGTTGTTAGTAAAATGGTCAAGAGGTATGAACAGAAGAGGAAGTATAAATGGCCAATAAACATAAAATGTCCTCAAACTTGTTAATATTCACGTGAATGAAACTGAAAACCATTAGGCATAATTTTCAACTTAATAGATGGCAAAATTTAAGATTTCTGATATAGCCAACTGTTGGAGAGAATGTGGGTCAAAGGAAACTTTTATTTACTGCTGAATGTAAATTAGTAGTACTACTGTGGGGAAAAAAATTGTACTTTATTGTGTAATTTAAAACTGCATACATCCCATGCTCTAGTAGTTGCATTCTTAAGTACTGGTATCCACAAGAGCAGTGTGCCTCAGATTTTAATGTTCATATAAATTACTTGGAAATCTTGTTAAAATGCAGATCCTGAGTCAGTAGGTCTGAGGTAAATCCTGAGACCCTGCAGCTCTAAATGCTCCCAGGTGGTGCTGACTTTCCATAGCCAGAACACAAAACACGGACTTTCCGACTTTTTGACCATGACTTCCCTATCAGAAATACATTTAAAATCCTTATTTGTAAATACATTTAGGGTTAAAGATGTCTGAGATATGATCTAGTTTAATTTCTCATTCCTAACAGAATTCCTAAAGAATTATTTCTTTAGCATTTAAATACATAAATGGTTATTAAGTCACCTGTCTTCTCTTTGACTAGTTCTAATGAAAAAACACTTATTTCCCTGGACTGCTAGTTCCAACTGTTAGAACGTTTCTTCCTCATTTTAAGCCAGTGTGTGTCCATGTAATTTCTAGACAGAGTACTAAGTTCTACCCTCTATACCAGCAAGAAATAACTCTATGTTTTCTTTGCTCAGTGTCCTACAGGTAGTTTAATTATTGCTAAAATCATGATAGAAAGAAAACGACACCAGAAAACTATCTTTAAGATAGCATTTCTAGTTTTGGTTCTTGAATTTCTTGGTAATAGATTTTGAATGGTATAATCTTATATTTAGCACATTTATTAATATATTTTGACTTTTTTTGTTGTAGGACACAAATATCTATTTGGCTGGCACTGAGGAAGGTCATATTCACAAATGTTCTTGTTCATATAATGAACAATACCTAGATACCTACAGAGGACATAAGGTTAGTTTAATTATAGTACGTATGGAAAATTGATCTTGTAATATTTCTGAAACAATAGTATCATTATACACAGTATTGTTAATATGCAATAAATTGACAACTTCAGAGTTAAAACTGCTGATTCAAAATAAGTGCTTTCTTGTATGGAAACCACCAATAATGTGTGGGACATTTTATTTGGCTTCTAGATATCCTTGATTTCTTCTTGTAAGTTATGGAAGTCACAATTTTTATTTGTTTCTGAAAAACTTTGCTTATGATAATATGCTGATCCCAGAGTAAAATTGTCTCTGGCATATACCTATTCTCCATATCTGTTATTATTGTCCTATCTATATTTTCCTCCTTTTCTCCATTTCTGTTATTTTTTTAGTACTCTTTATATTTTTTAAAGGAAATAAGTATAATATGTATTAATATTTAGTGATACTTGTATGGACTATATTTTTATATTTCTGTATGGCATGACTTAGGAAAGATTCAATTTATGACCTTACTCTCAGCTAAAATAATACCCACATAATAATGCATGGTGCATAAATCTTTTAGAAATATTAGCAATTTTAATTTATTGGTCAAGTTTAAAGTATAAGATATAAAATACTATTTATATATGTATTTTAATTTATTTTTTAATTCTAGGGTCCAGTGTATAAAATAGCATGGAACCCATTTTGTCATGATGTATTCTTAAGCTGTTCTGCAGATTGGGGTGTTATTATATGGCAACAGGAGAATCTCAAGCCATTTTTGAGTTTTTATCCAACTACTTACGTTGTTTATGATGTTGCCTGGTCTCCAAAGTCATCCTATGTATTTGCAGCTGCCAATGAGAGCAGAGTGGAGGTTTGGGATCTTCACATCAGCACGTAACTGTTAATATTTTTCTTGGGGCTATTTCTAGTAGAAGCAGTTCAAACTAAATGATACCGCATAGTTTTGACATCAGCTGGAGAGAGTTGTAGTTACTTTAAAATAGGCAGTGTTCAATTTGTGAGAGTTATTTAAGAATAATAAAAATATATGCCAGAATACTATCTTAATGTTAATTACTTACACCCTATGTAGTTTTTGAAATATTTGAATAAAAATAGGTTACACCACTCGTCTCCTCAAACTATCACAGGCTCCTATAGGATATCATAGCTACCTTGAATTCTTTTTCATTGCCTGGCTTATAGAAGAATGCAGAGGCAGCTGATTGTTCTTAACTGAAGATTTTGTACAATAGGATACAAAGTACAAAATGATTATTTTTAAAAATATTTATTCTCTTACCTTATTTCAAAACATATTCAAAGGAGCATGTATTTCATTAAATTTTTTGATTTAAGGTGTTACACCAAAATTATATTAGAGTGTCATCTAGACCCATCTATCTTTTTAATATGAGAGTTTATGCAATACCTGATGGCGTTTAATGATTCCACTTCTTCATTTGGAAAATATTATAGATCTTTATGCTAGTTATTAATAGAAAGAGCAGGGAAATACATTCCTGTTTAAAATAAATAATGTAAAATTCAGTGGGTTTATTCTTAATGGCAAACTTTTTCTGAAAAGTTAATAATTTAGTAACTTTAAAATTGTGTCATGGCTTGTTCTATAAAACAGTTTGCACCAAAAATCAAGGATTACATCACAAAGCAATTATTTTTGAGTATGAGATGACTAATGTATAAAGTGGCTACTTAAATGATCCCATCCATCTCTGATTTTAATTTTTCTGGTGAAACTCTAGTTCCTAGGGAAGCATTTCTTCAGAAGAAATATGCAAGTTATTGCTCCTATTTGTTTCTTAAGGGCATCAGTGGGCTGCTTTGGATGAATAAGAGTAGGAACAGTTCTTGTTCAAAATAGTATTTTATGTTTCAAAGGTTCATTTGGATCAAAATATCCTTCTATTAAAAGACATTTATTATTTAAGGAGTTGTATTAGTCAGGGTCTCCAGAGAAACAGAACCAATAAAGAGAGAGAAAGAGATTTATTTTAAGGAACTAGCTCACATGATTGTAGGGCCTGGCAAGACCCACATCTGCAAGACAGGCTGGCAAGCTCGAATTTCCATCAGGAATCCATCCATGTTGCAGTCCTGACTCCAAAGATAGTCTAGAGGCAGAATTTTATTCCACTTCGGGTAACTCAGTCTTTTCTTTTAAGGCCTTCAACAAATTGGGTTAATCTACCCACATTATGGAGGTTAATCTGCTTTATTCAAATTATAGTGATTTAAATGTTAGTCACCTCTAAAAAAAAATATCTTCCCAGCAAAGTGTAGCCTGGTGTTTGACCAAATAACTGGGTACCATAGCCTAACCAAGTTAATACATAAAATTAACCATCACAGGAGTTTAACTTATGAGTTCACGTGTTATTTGTGAATTGCTTCATCTAGTTAAAATTAGTTCATTAAAAAAGTGAAAATTTTCATTGAATAAGGAATATTAAGCAGTTGTTTTGATTCTGGAAACTCTCAATGAAGCTTTGGGTTTTTGTTACATGAAATCATGAGAATTATTTCAGATTTTTCTTAGTTTGTATATGAAAATAACATATTAACAACAGCTGAATTTACAAATAAAATCTTCATTGCAGTTTGGACCCTCTGATTGTGAAAGTTGCTAACCCTGGAATCAAGTTCACAACCGTTCTCTTCGCCAAACATACAGATTGCCTTCTAGTAGGAGACAGTGATGGGCAGGTTGCTGTGTATGAATTAAGAAATATGCCCACTGTTTCAGGGTCTGGCCGGGTAAGTCAAAATTTTATGTCATTTTATGACTTGATTCAGTTGAAATATTCAACTATTATTTAATTCAAGAGATTTACATTTCTTGAATATCATAAGTGTGATGCAAGGGAAAGAACGTAAGTCCCAAGAGTTCCTACTTACTAGGCATAGGTACCTACTAGGCTTATTTTCTTTGAGCCTCACGTTCTTTAGCTGTAAAATGAGAATACTAATGTTGTTAAGCATAATAATTATAAATGTTAATGGAACAACTTAAAATTGAGCCTAGTATATGGTTGGGGCTTAATAGTTGTTAAGTATAGCTAAAGAAGTTTACTGCAAATATTCAAACTTCTATAGAAAATAATATTTTTAGATATTTTTAAATATTATCCAATGTTAGTGAAATAGGCATTTGTTTCTGTTAGTTTAGCATTATCCTACTCCCTTATTCTGATCTTCAAATATCAAAACGTTGTTATAAAACTTTGACAAATAAATCAGTATTACTAGATGTCCATTATTTTTAAGACAGCTTTTTATTTTTGTTTTTTATATTTAAATTGCTACTTTAAGGAGTAGCAAATCGGGTTAACATTATAATGACTATAATAAACCTGTTCAAATATTCAAAGATCAATAAGAAAATAAAACACTAAGACTCCAATAGAAGAGTGTTAGAAATAATTCATTCACAAATAATGACAGAGAATATATTTTAAAATTCAACCTCACTAATAATTAAATAAATTTTTATTATTTTAAATTAAAATGTGATAGCATTCTCATATACCAAATTAACAAATTTTTTTTTTATGGGACTACTCAGTACTGGCAAACATTTGATGAAATAGGTACTTTTCTATGCTGATTGTTGAAATAGAAATTGGTATAGTTTCTCTGGAAGCAATTTAGCAATATGAACCAAGGCTGTCTACTTCTAGGACTCTATCCTATAGAAATATTTATAAAGGCAATCATAAAAATTAATTACAGCATAATTTGTGGTAGGATAAGAAGAGAAAAGAAAAGAAAAGAAGCAAAAAAGAAGAAGGAAACAACCTAAATATCCAATCACAGGGAAAAGTGGCCAGGGAAATCAGATGTGTTGATTAGATTTGGGTCACATGTAGAAAGTGGAGTTCTATTCCAACCATAACCATTTATTTGACAGTAAATGTTAACTAAGTAAGTGCGTGCTTGGGACTTTGTACTTGTCATTCTAGATATCTACAATCCACAGGGTTTGTTCCTCTACCTACTTCAACTCTTTGCTCAAATGTCACTTGAAGTCTTTCCTGGCCACCTTATTAAAATTGCAATGTCTACTCTCCCCCACACTTCTTATTCTCTCATGACTTATTTTTCATAATAACACTTATCTTTTAGTACATTATATTCTTTATCAATTAATTTTGTTAATTTCTTGTCTCCTACATCTAGAATGTAAGCTCCATGTAAACAGTGAATATTGTCTCTTTTATTCTGGGCCGTATCTCTATGACCCAGTACAGTGTCTAGCTTATAGTAGTTCAATAAATGTTTGTTTAATGAGTATGCATTAAAAACTAGAGGAAGAATTCAACATATTAGAAGCATTATTTCTTACGGGTAGGACCATGGATAAATTTTAGTCTTTCATTTTACTTATCTGTTTTCCAAATCATTAGACTACATATCTTTTTTTTTTTTTCAAAATCCATTGGTCTACTTATATAATAATTTTCGTCTGTTCTGAGGAATGCAACCCTAATGGCTTAATTTTTTTCATAGTATAAAACATTGTAATATTTTTAATTTTTCACAAATTCATTGAGTACAAGATGTTTTAATAGGTACTGGGGTGTTTGTGCCCACACTAAACCTTGTATGGAGACACACCTCAATAGCCAAAAGAAATTAAAAGAGAATTCCATTTTTTTATTCAAGTCTCTCAAAAGATATTAAAATGGATCCAAATATATAGTTCATAATAATCCTTTTTCTTCTTTTATCCATATTCCTGAAATCCTAAATGTAGCCTCAAGGCCAAAACCCATCCCTTTTTGTCTCTGTGATTCCTTCAATTCTATCCCACAAATTCTGAACTTGGGGCCATAGGGGGAGTGGGGGAGGTGTGAGTTGTTTTAACATTTTTGTTAGTGTATGTTGGAGTAGCAGTAGAAGAGAAATCTGCGATCATCAGCATATTTATATCTATCTATCTATATTTTCATCACACATTTATATCTATCAAGTACTACAATAACTTATCAATATAAATTATAATATTTTGTATATAAGCCTTTCTTAATAGTTTGAACTACTTGGAAATTTGTATATTCAAGTATCTAGCACATAATAGGCATTCAACAAATGTTGAATAGATGTCTGAGTGAACAAACCTGCAAGCAAAAGGCATATGGTTTCTAAGAAAGAAACAATACATGCTCAAGACATATGATAAAGTCATAAAGATCAAAATAATACAAAAAATTGTGTAAAGCACAGAGCAGGAAAATAATTGACTTTTGAAAGGAGAATGGGAAGAAGAAAAGAGAAGAATAGGAAGGAGACTACTTTGGGAAAGGCATTCACACAGGAGATCACTTTTCAACTGTGCTTTGGAGGATTAGAATTTTCCCTTGCAGACAAGAAAGTTTAACTGTTACTCCAAATTGAGGGAAAGGCTTGAGGAAAGATATAAAATTAGAAAAGTTCCATGGCATTTTAAGGAAATGGTGAGTAGACTTTTTTGACTGGTAAAGAGATTACTTGAGAGAAAAGCAGCTAAAAGACCAGTTGGGTCATTTGGGACCAGAAAATGTGTGTCTGCCATGATGGGGAGTTTGATCTTTATTCTATAGAAAATGGAAAGCCGTTTAAGGTTTACAATTCTAGAAGCGACGTGGGGGGAAAAATTAAATTAGGTCCTTATCTCACATTTTGTACAATGGTAAACTCCAAATGGATTAAAGACTGTGCGAAAAATAAGACTGCTAGAAGAAAATGTAAGATAATATCTTAATGATCTAAGAGCAAGGATAGATTTTTTTTTTAAATCCCTTAACTTTTTCAACTTTATCATGTTTCCTTATTTGGAAAATAAGTGTAATATGGGTACCAAAATCAAAGGTTGTTAGAAAGATTAAATGAATCAATAGGTACAAAGTGGTTAGAACTGGTACATAGTAAGCTCTCAATAAAGCTCAATTATTCTTGGTATGATTATTATGTCAAAATTAACTTTTTTCTCTTCAGGATTCCATATGCCAAATTAAAAAGAAATAGATTGGAAGAAGACATTACCAAGATATATAAAAGACATTTAATATTCGGTGTATATAAAAAGCTTCTAGAAAACAATAAGAACAATTCAATTGTTTAAATGGGTAAATTTAGAAGATATTAATTCACAGGCGAGGACACGGAAATAGCAAATAAATTTATGAAACAATATTCATCCTCACTAGTAATGAGGTAATATGCAAATAAAATTATACAAGATACCAGTTCACACTGATTGGACTTACAAAAATTAAAACAATAGCCAATATCAAGTATTAGCAAAGACATGGAGAATTAGGAACTCTTATGTAAGGGTCACGGGAATATGAATTAACATATCCTCTTTGGAGAGTAATTCAATAAAAATGAAAATTCAGAAACCGTTCAAGCCAGTGATACCATAGAGAATCTCTTACACATGTGTACCAGGAGACATATTTAAGTTATCAATGTGAGGTTTTTGTTTTTCTTTCTCCCCTCCCTCCTCCCCTCCCTCCCTTCCATTCCTTCTTTCCTTCCTTCCTTCTGCCCTCATGTTTCTTTTGTATATAGAGATTACTTCATCTACTTTCACTTAAAATATTCACATTCAAATTTGTTATAAAATTTTTAAAAACTAAGTTCACCTTAAGCTCTTACATTTAGACTATGTATTTTATTATTCTGTTTATAAGTCTAGCATGTTTTTTTTGTTTTTTTTTTTAAGATTTTTATTGGGGGAATTGGGGGAATGGGAACAGTGCTGGGGAATTGGGGGAAGGGGAACAGACAAGTTGCTGTCGTCTTGTTCTTCAATCTAGTTGTGGAGGATGTTGCTTCACTGGCCCAAGTTGGCACCATCATTTCGCTCTTCTCTGGCGAGGCAGATCAGTCGCCGGCTTCTGGACGGCCGCTCACTGCGGCTGCTGGCCGCTCA